CAACGCTAATGTATTGTCTATACAGTAGGCGTTGGGGCTAGCGAATAGAGCTACCTCGCGCCGGCAGAGGGCGTTACCCCTTTCCAAAGGTAGAATGGAATGATCGTCGAGTTTGAAGGCTATCCTGTTGAGTATAATTTTCTGAGTATGCTCTGCAGAGGTGCAAGCTTGATTGTGTGACGTTTACTTCGATATTTTGTCTCTGCTTTCCTTGCTTGTTTTGCGATTACATTTTTTTTTGTGTGTGCTGGGTTTTTTTGTGTGTGTGTGGGGGGGGGGTGTATTTTTTACATTTGGTGTGCAGTGGATCTATTAAGCATCCCTCCCATTTCTGCTTAGTTGGCCTACATGCAGATGGAACGGTGGTACTGTGGGTTATTGTCCAAAGTTTAAAATAGTGCTGGCGCAAGTGCTGGACACTGTGTTCATTGTTTGTGCCATTGAGTTGTTTTGATGGCTTGTGTTGGCCGTTTTAACTATTTATTCTACTCGATTAAATTAGGCGTCTGTCTTTCATGGCAGACTGTAGTAGTCAGGAGAATACCCTGCGCTGTGGTCACGAGGGTCATTTTTAAATTGTTCAATCCTGCACTCGTTGTTGAGATTTCTTTTTTAAACAATAGAATTCCAACAACATTATATTATAATGAGACCTTGCTTTTGGTGACGTTCAGAACATATGCAAATCTCCACCACTCATACCGTCCCTATACCTCCCTCTTTTTAAAAAAATCGTAAACATTATTGTATCAGTTTTACAATTTCTTTCAAATTTGTCTCCCGATATGAAAACAGCGTCCTTTTATGAGAAGATCAAACTCATCAGAGCTATTTTTTGCAAAGTATTTTATAGTGTTTAGGTTCAAGAACAAAATGTTACTTTTAAAAGGGCAAGAAGTTAACTTGATGGGCACGAAGTCTTACCGAGAATTTTGTCCCATGTTTCTTCATAGCGCCGCATATTAATAATATGATGCTTGCACTACATGTATAGTTCGTGGCCTATACCCAGGCCCAGGGTGAGAAAAGCAACGATAATGACTAAATGTATAAGGAGGTTGAGGCTGACAACAGATTGTTGATAATAATACAAATACATATCTGTATATATTGTACATACACGCATGCATAATTTCTTTACCAGGCTAAAGCTTTTGATGGGTTTTTGACCTTACAACTTCCTTCTTAGTACTGTGGTTATCTGGCGGTAGTGCCTCGGGTTAGAAAAAATGTGTTCAGTTTGGGCGAGCCTATTTTGGGCGTTTGTTTAAAAAAATTTATTAAAAAACAATCCAGAATATTCTGTTTCTCAAAGTGATAGTAGCCTTCATTTAAACTTGTTTTGTGGAAGCAGAGAATTACATTTTAAGAAACTGTTTTCGCGTGACATAGGTTTGGGATTAAACTCCTTTTGAATTTTTATGTTTGCAAGTTTAACGCCCGATAATTAGTTACAAATAAGTAATTTTGGAGACTTGGGGTGACTAGAACTAAAATGGACTGACCATTAAATATATGTTTGAAGTATTTTCAAATTTAATGTAGCTTAGACAAAGTGCAACAGTGAACCAATCATAACAAAACTGATTATTGTTGTGATTTTAATTTTTGTTTGTTCCTTGTTTTTACTTGTGTCCCAACTGCTTGCTTTCATGTTTTTTGTTGTTCCGATGTTGTTGTTTTTATAATTTTCAATCAAAATCGAGCTGTGATTTTTCAATGAGAAAATAAAAGACACCCCCCCCCCCCACCCCAACAATTATAATTAGTATTTTTTCTGTTTGCCTTTGTTGGTTTGGGATTTCAATTGTACTTTTGTCTGCCGACTTGTTTGTTGTATTTTCATTGGACCTTATATGCTTTTACCGCATGGTTGTGATAGTGAATGAACCTAATAATATGAATAGGAAAACAATGCCAGTGTACATACATTACAATATCAAACCTGAAAGAACAGGCTTTGTCGAACATTTAACCTAGTTCATGTAATGCTTTTTAAAAATTCTATGACTAGTAATTGTAGGCCTGTTGTTACTGCATGTTGATGATGGCAAACAGAATACGTCTTTTGAAATTGGGCAGTTGTCTCAAATTCATAGAAAAACAGAGGACAAAATGGCTTGGCCCTTGGCCACTCACCTGTTAATTAAGAATGTCACATACAGCCAGCCTCGAATGCAAGCTATAACGCCAAGTACTAAGGCTATAAAAGAAGAGATAGACCAAGCAAAATATGGATTGAGGGAGTCGAGGAAACCCTGCAAAATGATTATATCTCAATTGAAAGAGCAGCAGAACTGGCCTAGCATAGATTAATAGAAAACTGCTCCTCCTCTCGACACTTAACGGCAACAGAGGATGAAAAAGTAGAAGTAAAAAAAGTAAAGTTGTCTCAGTATATCGTGCTGGTCTGTGGAACGGATGACCCTGGTTCAAATCCTTATCGAAGTAGTCTTTAGTTTGGGTTGTTATTTGGGAAAATTTCTGTGGAATAGTTCCACACCTGTTTGGTTCTACTGTATCTTGTTTGAGTTGGTCGGTACTATCAAAGGTCCCGCCAACATTTTCTCAGTGTTGATAGAGTTTTGAACCTCATCCCATAGTCGTTCTTTACGAATACCCTGTTCAGCAGAGAATCAGCGAGGGAACAAGATGACAATAACAGAAAATAAAAGGAAGGGATTGAAGTTAGTCTCTCTTGAAATCCATGTATGAATAATGCATAAGTAAAAGTGTTTGTATTTGCGTGAGTGAGCTCACATACAGAGAGGACATGTTATGTGTGTGTGTGTGTGTGTGTGTGTGTGTGTGTGTGTGTGTGTGTGTGTGTGTGTGTGTGTGTGTGTGTGTGTGTGTGTGTGTGTGAACATGTACATAGTACATGTATTTGTTAGAGTAAAATTCTGTCGGGGAAATATTGCATCTCTAAGAGGTATGAACCAGTAATTCGTAAAGATATATGAAGGTAAGTTAATTGAGTAGTTACTAGATATTCAAGATGTTGGAGTAATACTCTTCGATTTTGCTCAAGTCACAAGTCTTTGTGAGGACACAAACAGAGAACACTCATCCCATAGAAGTATTAGAAGGCTTCATAACATAAACCTTTCACCTTAGTTTTAGTCTCATGTCGCCCAGACGTTTTCATAAGTCCCATTTCTTGCTGTTAAGATCAAGACTGGAGTTATACTTAACACTGAACTTGAATGTGTGATATATATTATGTAGGCCTACATGTATTTACGGGCTTCGTTAATGATAGATGTGCTTACTGGCCTTTGTTAGAGGCTTCAATGGAAATGTACATTGTATGTATATTGTACGGCTTTTTCTGGCTTCCGTGATATATGTATTTGTTGGTATTTATAATACATGTATTTGTTGGCCTCCATGATACATGTTATTTATAGACTACTATGGTACATGTATTCACTGGCTTTAATAATACAAGTACATGTACTTGAGTAGGCTACTTCCAGCAGGACACCTCTCGTGTCATGGTTCCAGGGATGATCTTAGTTCTTAGCCTTAGAGTACAGATTCTTTTGAATATTCTAAACATTCCTCAACATAAATGGACTCAACGTTCGTAATATGGTTTTTAAATGTTAGTGAGTGCTAGCTTTATTACAGTAGATAGGTAGGCTTACAGAGTGATAGGGTCTACAGATAACATAATGGTATCAAGTGGAAGAAAAAAAAGATAAGCTCACTTTAAGGGAAAAAAATCAAGGTAGTAGCCCCTAACTTACACAGTACGTGTAGTGGAAGTATCCCTCTATGGCAAGTGAACAACCAAGTAATTCACAAACTGGATTCTCATAAACAGCAAATCAGTTAAAAATAAGCCACGCCATCATAAAAAAAGTTTAAAATGGTTCAAGTTGTGGAAGGATTAAACAAAATGATTAATGAATTTATTATGACCTTGCCAGTTTTTCACTTAATCCCTTCATATTATGTTTTATTTTAAAGCTACATGTACTCAATTGCCTGCAATCTGTGGCTCTACTGCCTGTGCAACTACTAAATATATCCACATCTGTAAACGCCAGCCAAGGTACATGTAGCTGTCAACTGCTCATACATGTAGCAGTGGTATGGTGCACACAACGGTTCAATAGTGACTTTCGCTTTTACTCTAAGCGGGCATTTACTGCGATGGTAGACGACCATTAATTTATGATTTTGTTCTTAAACCAAAGTCAAGTCGATTTCAGATTGTGGCATTATTTAATAATTGGCCTTCTTTTATTAGGATTACCATACATTCATATTATTTCTTATAGTAAATTATGTTTTACATCCGAATCGATACAGTGTAGATAAATTAGGAGATAGGCTGCATAGACTGACCCTTGTCAGAGCCAACCCAGGCTGAGCGAGACAAAGTATAGTATTCCAGTAGAAAGTTCATCAACAGAAATAGAACTCAAGTAGTTTGCCTGCTACTTAGGCTTAAAATATTATAACAGAATGAATAATAAATGGGGTTTCTTTTTCGTAAGACAAGACTTGTTGATTGAACTTTTTTGATTACTCCATACCTAATACTGAAAAGAATTCTCTGCATTTGAGCAAAAACTGATCTGTTACAATTAATTCATTCATCATGTATACTACATGTACATGTACTGTTAGGTCTTGCAAATTGCTGTGGTTTCAATCAGAAATAAATACGGAAATTTGATGTTCATGTAAACAGGAGGAAGTGGCTTCTTTTTTATGCTTGAAAATGTATCATTATCATCAAGCATTGTTCATGCTTTTAATGCAAGTTATATCAAACATGCAATTTTCATTGTAAGCAAGTAATTATATGTATTATTGTTTGTGCCATTTTACAGACACACGCCTTACTTTGCTAAGCTGGACACTTTTTGAACAAACACAAAACCTTTAATTGCAAGCGGTAACTAAAACATTAATATCATATACAAGTACACATAATGTACATTGACTTTTTTATTTTTGAAGGTCAAAGTTCAAAGTTTTTAGTCAATTCATGATGATGGTGAACAACATTTTTGGCCCATATCTGGAAAACAGTTTTCAGTCTTCAGGCTTTGATATCTACAATAACACTCATGGTGTACAATTTATACATACATTGCTGTCGTGCTATACCTCATCTGATTTGACCAATTTATTTAAAATCATGATCTGTGAGACTTTGCTTTTGTGGTGCGGGAATAAAAAGTTTTCCGACAATTGTCACTTGTTTCCTCTTCTTGAATAATTACAGCAAAATGGTGAGTTGTTCTGTACGTCCATCGAGATGACAAAGTCAAAGACTATCTCGTCATCTTGGGGTTGGGGATGAGTGACAACTGATCAGGCCTATCTGGTGAAAATGGTGAAATGGTGTAGTAGGTTTAAAGCCCCTGTCAACACTATTAGGTTATTTAAGAGGCAGGACCTCCAAGTTTAACACCCATCTCCGAAAGGACGGAGCCAAATGGGAAATTCCTGTAAAGAGCCTTTCCCAAGGACATTAGGTCGGATTAAGCTGAGGCTCGAACCCCGAACATGTTATCCCTCAATTACGGGTTCGGTATCCTAACCACTAGGCTACTGACGCCATGGCCTATCTGAGCCCAGAAAGTTGTGTCACAATATGGGGATGGTGGTAGCAGATCTAATCTTCCTTGCCAACCTATGCTGCTCAGCAGCTTAGTTGCAGCAATTGGGTGGGTCTCTCACAGACCTCTGCAACCTTGAGAACATCTGAACACCCCATGACCTGTTCTGGGCAGTCTACTGCCATGTTGTGTGGTCAATAATGTAGCCCATCAGGGAAGCTTTGAGGTTGTCCTTGAACTCTTCCTCTGTGACTATGAGAACATTTGCCTTGTTGTATGTCGATGTGGAGTCATGCCACTTGGACAGAAGCAAGTCATGTTTTTTTGTGTTTTAGTATAAGTACTAATTATGGTATGTTTGTGTCAGTTAAAAAATAACTTACTGACAATAACAGTAACAACAGTCATTTATTGTGCAGAAATAGTAAAACAGACAGAAACAAGTGAATGGGAGAAAAGAAGTGGCACCCTCCAACCACCCGCAAATTAAGGTTGGAATTTTAAAAATTAAGAGACTACAATATCAGAACCAGATTCGTTTTAACTAATTTAACACAGCTCCATTATATACAGTATCCGGTGCTTATTAAAGAGCAAGCAAAATGATATGTGGAAATCACAATCATTATACGCGAAGCAGAGTCGTGAAATCAGGGGCCCGTCAAAAAGATATATATGGAAGAAACAGGCCTTTTCCGGTCAGTTTGGCAATTTTTATTGAATGTTTGTTTTTGTGCTCAACACCTTTCCGTGTGAATTTTATTGAAAAACGATTAAAGGCACTCTGAAACCAGGCAACTCCCACCTCCTTAAATTGCAAATATCTTGAATTCTGTTCAAGATAGATGGGTATTTTTTTCATTGAAAGTAAAGCAAATGAATAACCTTTCAGATGATACCAATAGCTCCACATGCCCAAAAATTGAAGAGCGCCTGATTCCACAGCGTTGTGACACGTATGTATACAGAAAAGTGACGTATAAATCTTTGAATATTTCTCTTGTTCAGCCATTGCAACATACTTGAAAGCCGAACTGAAAAGAAGGTGATTTTATGGGTTGGGGAAAAGCAAGGTCTACAAGTTAAGAAGTAGGACCTAATAGTAGCATTCTAAAATCACCTGCTGGAACTCAAAAATATTTCTTTGTGTGATTTTAGGAGGATTTCTTATAAGTACCAATGTGACATGTGTCACTGAAAGGTGTCCTACTTTTAACAAGTGCCAACCAGATACATGTCACTGAAAGTGTCTTTCTTTTATCAAGCACAAAGTGCACTGGGGCTCTCTGAGTTTGTAATTCTGATCGTACAAGGATTAGTATACACTCTAAACTGTTACCGGTACTAACTCAAAACCTGTGAAAAAACAGCTTAACCATTCAGAGCTATGAAAGCACGATCAAGGAAGAAAACGAACTGAGGGGAACTTTGGTCGGTGAGAAAATTCCTTGTCCATCGCATTAAGTAACCCTGTCATCATATTTCATGTACATAAAAGACAAGAATTCAACATATAAATTATTCAAATGAGCAAGTCTTCAGTGATAATATTTTATTATCCATCACCATTTTCATCAGTCATCACATACAAAAGTGAACATCAAGACTACCCTTTAAAACTCCCATAACAACAATTCAAATCGCGTGCAAATAAAGCCCAACAATCTTCCCCTTTCCCTTCAAAACCAAAACTGAAAGAATAATTCACCCATAGTGAAACTGATAAAAAGGTAATATCAAGTCCATATTACTAACTCATAATTCGAGTGAGCTTTGAACAAGCATGAAGGATAAAGAAGTACAAGCACTCCTACACTCACCTGTCAACATATACACACATACAGTCCAGTGCACCTGCATAAACACACTTATACACATACAAGCACACACAAACATGCACACTCACACAAACACATGTTCACAGTACATCTGCACACACACACACACCCTTACAAACACTCACAGTGCGCCTGCAAAAAACACATCCACACACTCACGCAAACATACCAACAAGCCATTACTTATTTTCTGCTTTCATTTTCTGAGCAATCTCCTGCAATACTCTCTGCACTGCCTTGTTGGGCATGATAACGTGGTCAGCCTCCGAGTCGCTCGAGTTGCTGGTGTTCTCTGTGCTGCTGTCCTCGTCGTCGTAGTCTGCGATGCCCGGTAAGATGCCAGCCACCTGCATCATGCCGTTGCTGGGAGGAAGATTAGCCATCAGTTTGGCATCAGGTCGCTCTGAAAAGAAAGTTTTAGTTTTAACAGTACTTGCAACACAATAAGGTCATATAGGTGCCAAAGATTAGAGGTGTTACAAGCCAGAAACAAACACAAAAAAGAAGGAGGAGAGGTCAGGACGACAGATGTTTGATAGGAAAGAAGGAGCAAACCACACCAGAGCACCTTTTTAGTTTTAGTAAGAATTTTACAGCACTTGCAACACAATAAGGTCATATAAGTGCCGAAGATTAGAGGTTACAAGAGAGTAACAGACACAAAAAAGAAGGAGAGATAAGGATGATAAATGTTTGATAGGAAAGAAGGAGCAAACCACACCAGAGTACCTGCCAACCACCCACTCTGAAATGAAACAAGGAGTTGAGTCGGCATTACAAGACTAAGTTATCCCAATGCACTTGTTATGTTAGTTGAAAGAGACGGTACAAAAAAGCACAAACACACATAAAAAAAAAAAAATTTATTCAAGTCGGTATATCCTAGATTACTAACTCTTTCTCTGCCAAATTCACAAACAGACAAATAACCAGAGAGGTGCTATGACTGCAGTTTGGTTTTATTTATAGTAATGACTGCAGTTTGGTTTTATTTATAGTAAAGAGAAGCACAGTGACAATTTGATGATAATTTAGTGCTGGGCAAAAAGCAAGACAGACAAAAATAGCAGAGGGACTCTAAAGAAGTGGCACCCTCAAACATCCAACTTGTGCGAAGATTGTTGATTATCAAGACTTAAAACAGATATCACAGCACATGTAATTTATTTGGACAAAATCCATAAACGTATAATTATAATGTTTAAAAAATCAATCGCTTTGTCAGTCAAATTCATATGTTATAATAGGTAAAAACTCTAAAGTATCAGGTGACCCCAAAAAAACTTTACTCACAGAGAAACCCATACTTTACTTTTACGATCCAGCGGCCATTTGGGTTCTAGCCCTTCGGTCTGTCGATATGGCAAAGAATTGACAGGTTTTAATCAGCTGTGCTTTGTCGCTGTATAGAGTGTTTCCGATGTCTGGGGAGGCAGGTAGGTAGGTGCTACGCAGGTCACAAAGTGCTGGGCAGTTAAAGAGGTGGTGTGGTACTGTTTCATCCTGGCAGTCACACAACGGGCAGTCGGGTGGGGTATCCTTGCGGATCCTATTAAGGTAGGAGTTTAGTGGTATGTGTTGTGTTCGCAGGCGAAATATCCTGACTTGTTCTCTTCTACTCAGGGAATTTATTGCATCTTTAGAGTTGGGGGCTGTCATGTGTGCAAATTAATACAGTTCTTCCAGTTTTGCCCATTGCCCATCCATTCAGCCACTGTTCCCTGGTGTTGCATTTGATGATGTTCTTGGCTGTCTGTTGTGATACTGGGTTGTGAGGTTGTGTCTGTGATACTCCCTTCTTGGCAAGGGTGTCTGCTCTTCAGAGAAACCCATAAAAACGGTTAAAATAGAGATAGAAAAACAAGATTTTTCAGGCGTACTTGGTCACCATCAAGATTCATTATGACAAATTTACAAATAAAAGTTCCAAGTTTGAAGGAAATTAGAGTACATGCTCCATGTGACGTCCGTTTCGGGCGATAAACGCTCTGAGGCACTCGACGAAAATGTCTATGCACTTTCCATTTGCTCCAAGAAAATGGGTCTGACGTTGATGGAAACAGTCAGTCCCCGGAGAAAGTTGTATTTGAAAATAGCAAACGTTGCAAAAATTTGCACAAAAAATTATAACAACGGTTGTAAGAAAAGATGCAAGACGTGTATAGAGCTAAAATAATTTCATGGAATTATTGGAATACATTGTTGCTCATTGCAATCAAAACAACCAACATGAGTTTTGTTGATCAAAATCAATGTGAATGTCAACAAAAACAAACAAAAAACTGCACGGAGGTTACACGGAGTACAAAACAGTTTGTCCCCTGACACATGCGTCGGTCCTTGAACTCTCGCTGACGTTGGGCAGGTGTGACCAGCGATGTTTTGGGCTGTTCAAATATAATCTTACACCTTTTTTGGGACTCCCCCCCCCCCCCCCCCCGCAATACTTAATTTCAATTTTTCCCCCCCCCCCCAACCCCATAATATTACATTAGTCGCTTATAATAATGATAATAATAATAACATGACATTTAAATCGCGCAAATCCATGTTACAATCATTGTTCTATGCGCTATTCCTGAAAAACATGCATACATACATACATGCACACCTAATAATTATACAAGCGGAACTCTTCCGCAAAAACTTACGGTGTCATTTTATCACTTTAGTTTATTTTTAACCGCACCGGTGTAATCAAAATTAAAGTTACTACCAGTAGGTAGCGTAAACACGGCCTCACTGGCACTTGAGGCCTTCCGACCGCATGGTATCGGTGAAATTGCGGCAATACCGATCGCTGTTTCTTTGCTCTTTCGCTATAAAACACCAAATGCCGAACACCTTGTAAAAGTTCAGCTTTACCTCGTTACAATGGTGTAAATTGTTTATGTGTCCGATTATTAGGAACTGGAGAATCGCCGAGGAAAGTGAAGCCCCCCTCGCGGTCAGAATGCGTGGTCGGCCGGTTGAAAAATTGACACGAGTGCATTCAAATGCTTCGCGGAACGAGGGATGATTAAATACCGTCTTTTCATTGGCGGAGAACTGTAGAGCTTTAAACGGGCTTTCCCGTGGTATATATTTTGCCTTTGGCGTTTAAATTTAAAAATACCGTCAAAATTTTTAAAAGATCATTTTTTACATGAAAAATGTAAAATACCGGCTCAAAACAGGTATCAATTAATAGATTAGTTTATTTCCTATTAGAATAAAGTAATTAGCATAGAGTTATTTTGCATCAATCCTTTCCATGAAATTATTTTAGCTCTATACACGTCTTGCATCTTTTCTAGCAACCGTTGTTATAATTTTTTGTGCAAATTTTTGCAACGTTTGCTATTTTCAAATACAACTTTCTCCGGGGACTGACTGTTTCAATCAATCAATTCCGCGAGACTCAGAAAGCATGTTACCCCGCACGCGGGTAACACTACAGTATCGAGCCGACTCGCTCGCCGCGGGGGCCGGTGCGGTGCCGGCCGGGTCAACGCTCGGTGTTTTTATTGAAATAACGACAGATCATCGTGTTTGAGGCGATAAAATACTGATTTGTAATGATCTCATCGTCTTGAAAAAAATTAGGCTCCATATATTTGTTATAGTGATTGTACTCTGTTAATGTGGAGATGTTTAGTGCACTTGGTACTCTTTTATTATCTGTCAAACATGGGGTTGCAGCCAGTGACTGACTTTAACAAATTTGATCAAATTTTAAACAAACTACCATTTTCTAAAAAATTGACTGCGATGTTAAAGAAAGGTATCAAAATGCTCAGAGGATATAGGCCTTTCAAACAGAACAGATACATTTGGCATACAGTTACTTTGAAAATTTAGTTTCTGGTACCTACTACCAGTGTATAAAGTGTGAGATGGCATATGCCATGCTTACCGCTCTAATTGAAGAGTTAACTCTCTTTTTATGCGTTTAAAACATGTTGTGATAAATTTTTTTCACCAAAAAAAATGTAACATTACACTGGTTAAAGACCCTCCCCCCCCCCTCCTCCAGGAGTAAGATTATATTTGAACGTCCGGGTTAACAGTTGTCCCGATGATTCGATCCATGTCTAGATCTACGCTCGTAGCCTTAGATTTAAAGTCTTTCACAAATGTTTATACTAGATCTATCTATCTGGTGCTACAGAACCAAATGCAAGCTAAGTAATCTGACGATCGTTTATGATTGATTTATGGTAGACCTATTCTAGATCTGGAATCTAGATAAGATGATTCAGCCCAAACAGGACCATTGAGGGATTGGGTTGGGTCGGGCTGGTTTGCTAGTCAGATTGAGGACGCAAAGCGGATGTCGTGGCACAAGTTGATTGCTCCCGACTCGTTGCCTCAAAACCAAACGTGTAAGTTTTCAGGCGATGAGACGGGCCATCATACCGACCCGACCCGAACCCATCTGCAATGGACACCCCGTACAAAGGTACAAAAGTGGCATTTTAGGTACGAATTGTCCCCCTAGGAGTAATTATTTTTAGTCGTGGAAAAAGTTTCGGTTATTTTTAACAAAGTTTTATTATTTCCCCAACTCATGCGGAAAATAGCCTAAAATTAAGGAATTCATGAAAATGGCTAAAGTTGCGCTGAGGGCAAAAGTTGCGGGTTGCAGGCGCGAATTTCTCTTAGGACAGAACAATGTCTCTCAGCTGCTGGAGGGTTTGAAAGTTACTGCCACATATTTCGTCCTTTAGGTACCCCCAAAGATGGAAATCTATGGGGCTGAGGTCAGGACTGTGAAAAGCCCAGGGGTTCACTGTGCCAAGACTGACAAATCTCTCGTCGAAGTGGTCCCTCAAAAACTGAAGAAAAGTTCTCTCAGTGTGTGGGGCAGCACCATCTTGCATGAAATAGTGCCCTGCTCTCACTTCCATTCCATTCAACCTCCCTAGAGCTCTCCAAAACCTGGTCAACATCTTGAGGTAAGGGTCGGAGGTGACCGTCAGCGTGTCTCCATCCCTGTACATGAATCGAAGAAATATTGGCCAATAATGCTCTAGCGGCTCATGGCAACCCAGGCAGTGACTTTCAAGACATGGAGATTTTGTTAGTGCACAACGTCAGGCTATGCAGAGCCCAAGAATATGTAATTTTTGTTAGTAACTTGTCCATTCAGGTAAAAGTGTGCCTCTTCACTAAACCATGTTCTGCCCAGCAATGTCTCGTCGTCTTCAATCTCCTTAAGCAACCACATGCACATTCTCACTGTCTGCTGCATTGGCGTCCCCGAGCTTTTGATGTACCTGGATTTTGTATGGTTTAAACTTCAGATCGTACTAAAATGAGCGTCGAACAGATTCTCCAGAAATAGATAATACAAATCCGCCCATACTATGATGACGAACTGACTTTTGAGGTTCTTCGCTCGAAGACTCAATCACCACTGCCACTTTCTCTGGAGTGCGCACTTGCATCGGCCTCCCACTGTGGGTGACCCTAGTTTTTTATCTCGTTTTTATTTCAACAGAGCCAAGTGAAGTCAGCCACCCACTTAAGTATTGTTACTTTACTTGGTATTTTCTTACTCTTTGGTGCTTATTCCAACCCATTTACAGAAGAGACTCCGTGTCTGCATAGGGGACTTTGTTTTCAATATATGTTTCAACCATAAAAAATATGTTGTTCAACAGTGAACTGTATCTGCAGAGAAGCCATAGCTGCTTCGTAGGCACTTCGTTGTTTTTATTACATATTTCTCCTTTAGGTTAGATCAGCTAGCCTCCTGTCAATTTCGGTGTGAATTGTGCACTTTGGTGGCGAGTTATAGGCTTTCCCGTGGGTACAGGTTTTTTTGGACCAGTACGTATATTCTGGACAATTTACAATCAGATAAGTGAAACTACCCTGACCTGAATATGCAGTTCTGACAGGCCAAATATGTGCCCATCTCACAGCAGAATCTACCCTTGATAGTAAAAACTGTCACACTTTCAAAGTCTTCCAGAAGTTGTAAAACCAGAAAAATTATATGTCACAGGTCGCAATCAATTCAAGGTCCAGGACAACTTACCTTCTTCTTCATCAGGCTTGGCTTTTTTCTCATCTGTTTCTGACTTTGAATCTGTACTGAAAGGAGGACAAAAGACAATATATAGCGCCTTTAATATGACAGACATTCTGAAATGGCTTAACAAAAAAAACTTCACAGTCCATACAAGCTTGGCCACATGTAATATTAACATATCAACAAAAGCAACTCATTACGAAGAAAACTTCTAAGGTTTTATGGGCTAATTGAATTCCTGCCTTCAAACTTACAGCAAGCTGTTGTTGTTAGCGATCCAGTAGCATTTGAGTGTTAACTCTTCTGCAAAATGCCATTCTGTAATAGCTGCATGTCTGTTCTAATTGTTGTTTTGAGGAGTAGAGGCAGTTAGATGTGTGGGGTAGCTTGGGAAGAAAACATCCCCTTAAATCAGTTAGTTTTCAACAGAAGAACAGATGATGTTTCACTGTCTCTGAGGGGTAGTCACATAGAGGGCAGGCAGCAGACTGCTTTACTCCAATTCGTTTAAGATGTTGATTGAGGGGAACATGTTGTGTTCTAAATTGGAAGATTATGGATTGATCTCCCATCCTCAACTCATTGATTGGATCTTTGACCAGTGGTTTATTCATGTTAGAGCAAGCTAATATTCTAAAATGCTTCCCCGGAAGCTGACAATGTTTCTGAGTGTTCTATGGTCTTCTGGGGTAATAATATAGTATACACGCATAGAGTTTGCTGTCGAGCGCGGAATGTGATAGACAAATGTTATTTATTATTATTACAAATGTATTATTAAAAGGATGATTGTATATCTATTTCCAGAGGGCTTACATTTGGCATATACATATAACAGAAGTCATGATTTTTTGTGTGATTTTAGATGGCTTAACTGGTCTGCTTTGTGCTAATTGGTAGGTGGATGTTCACAATGCCTTTCACCCATGACATTCACACTGAACCGCCCATGAACTCACACATTTCAAAGGCAAAGGCCTTGCTGAAAATTCTTTCAGCATGTGAGGCTGAGGCTACTACACTTGCAGTTCAGAATATGTTTTGGCTTGGTAAAAGTTATAGTACAGTAACAGCAAGTTCATCACACAGGTACTTCATAAAAAAAACCCCCAACTAATTAAGTTGACAGACTAAGAAAAACCTTCCATAATTTTTTTGAGGGAGGGGGGTGGAGAAGGGGGTTGAGGTGACTAACAAATAGAGCAGCGAGAAACCAAAAGGTGGTGTAACTTGTAACTTTTATAACGGTGGAGCAACACGCAGAAACATTTATTTTCACATAAACATGTACTCAACATGCTGTGATAAAGATGAAAGTCAGTCTTAGACCAAAATCAAACTGACCCATCAAGGTATGCCCTACAGGAAGGCCTTGCATCATGTAATGAAATGGTGTAAACACTTATATAAGTTTATAGTTTGAAAAAAATGTAATGATCTGAGTCAGGGAAAGCTGTGAAATTAAAACTTTTTTCCATTCATCAAAGACTATAGTACTGTAAATGACAGGATATTTTCATAAAACATGTTGATGATGTGTGATCTTATTTTGGGATATAATCTCCCCATTATTCTGAGCACCAGGGCCAGTGGTCCACCTTTGGGATTACCTACACGTGTCAAATAGAGAAGAAAACCCCTGCACCTGAAAAAAGAATATTTGACAAAAAAATAAGAGTTTGTCATGAAAGTCCTATATTTACAAATCCCACCCCCCCTCCCAGAAAAATAGTGGAATGTTATCAAATTTTCTGACACACTAACCTTTTCCTTTTAATAGCACCAGAGAGCAGCTGCAGCTGGGACTTTTTGCTGGAAGACGAGCCAGAGCTGGAGGAAGTGGATGAGGAACTCGCTGTGGCCGACGCCCTTTTCTTATCCTCTACAGTTATCACAGACTTGCTGTGGCATATGTTAAGGACTATTTACATAACAAGACATAACAATGGAAAAACAAGCAGGAAAAGAATCTTTGCACAAATTATAGACTCTTTTTACCAACAATTTTTAATCCAGGACCTATCACATATAACCTGGAAACGCTCAATTAATAAATTATCCTTTTTCTCCATTTTTTTTTTAATCCAGAAAATATGGCTGAATGTTTAGGAAAATTAAAACAAGGGTTTTAACCAAGACAGAGACCAAAAATTATAACATACATTTCTTATCAAATTTGACTCCTTCTTATTTCATTTTTTTTCATAAATTTTTGCTTCTGAAAATTGCTATAAATCTAAAATAATATCAAAATTTTTCCTTGCAGGTTTTTTTCTGAGGTAGCCCTAAAAATGTTTGTGCCCTATGTACTTGGTAAAAATGCAACTTCTAGTCATAGACAAATTTCTGCAAAGCTCTGATATTTTCCATTCAAAAAAACCCCAGAACCACTTCATTGGTATAAATTGAAGCAGACTACCCCAGGGCGGTCAAGAAACCACCCAGTCATCTAGCAGCAAGGCTTAAGTTTAGCACCCATCAGAAGGATAAGAAAATGAAAGCGACAAAGGGCAAAATTGGCAGCAACAAAGGATATCTTTAGTTCTTTAATAACGGACTGCTCCTCACTGTTCCGATCCTTCTCAATCTGCATCTGTCTGTTGGACACATAGTTAAGGAACTGAACCTCCTCGTCATCCAGACCTTTCACACTACTCCCTGCGGGGAGAAATAGCAAAAACACACAAATCTATTTATATACAGTAATGCATTAACACTTTAAAAAAGAAAATGACATTAGAAATTAATTCAAGTCGTCAAACCAATTTTCTTCACATGAAAAGGAACCAAATTTGACTTGACTTTGGGACAACTTTCTCACAAATTGAATAACTTTGACACATTAGAAAATTGGAGCATTCAAAAGCAAAAGAAGGGGATAATAAGCAAGGAGAGTTGGTGTTGTACTACAGTATGGATTAAACACCCAAACAAACACTGAGTAGTTAAAAAATGAGGTTGCACATCAAATGTCTTTCAATGTCACTGATAAGACCCAGCTCAGTTCAGTGAAGAGCCAACCCCCCCCCCCCCTATACAATCAATGTTTAAAAACACCATATTGGGCATGTCAAGGCTACAAAAGGGAACAATAATTGATACGATTATCAAGAAACTTTATTTGATACAACAATGCAGCATAATGTCTATGCTTCCACATGACAGCAAAAGACACTGCTGACAGGGGCGACTGCAGTCAAACATCTACTTATGGCACGGCTTTCAGATCTAAAATATTTTCTAAATCAATTTCGCTTCAAGAATCTTACTTAAGACAAGTACTCCCCATTTTCAAACAGGCATTAGAAAATTCATCAAAATATTCAAGTACTGCTAAAGGGCACATCATGATTCCCCACAGTTACCACGAAATAATGATAGAAATTCATTCAATACTAACGAAGTCTGCTGTCTTCCTCCAACTCTCTATCTTTCACATCCTTGTTCGCCTGCAACTGATCAAACAAAGACCTGGTTTCTTCTTCTGGACATTCTGTGAACAATCAAAATATTCATTTTTTTAAATGTGTTAACAGTACTGTGCATTGAAAATGCAGGGTAGTAAAAAAAGCAAACATTAGGAGAGAAATAACAGTGAAGTTATTTGTTCTCCAAAGACTTTAACTTCAACAGCCTGCAAAATATAACTGGTCAGTTCATCAAAGAAAGTACTGGTACTGAAGAAGAAAGGAAGAAAACGAGGCAGAGACAATACACTTAAAAAGAAAATATTACACAAAGTAAGAAAATTTGAGCATGCTGGTAGATGTTCAAGGTATCATACAATGAGCAAACGAGTTTACATTACATCTCTTGCTGGTCTGACAAGTTATCACATTCACACCAACAACAGGAAATTTAGTTTTAGTAGAAGTTTTATGGCGCTCGCAACTGCATAATAAGGTTATATGAGCGCCAAGGGGTGGATGTCAACAGAGAAGTCCCTACAGGGAATCAGGCTTACTCTGCTAACCTCTCCAGCTTCAACAGCACAAAGTCTGCTTCGACCATCAAGGCACTCCGGAAATAGCGGGTCACAAGAGTGTGACAAACATACAAAAGTAGAGGAAAAAACATGATAGTAAGGATTAGGAAAGATATTTAAGCAATATTTCCCTGTTGAAATTCAGGCACACTTATGAGCATGTCATTGATGAATCAGCCCATTTACAATTCTAAAGTGCATAAGAACATTTGGGAATGGCCGAAAGACACTTCAGTCAGTAGCACCGTCCTGGGGGGTACAACGGGAAAGGGTGGTGCAAATGAAGATATGACAACAAAGATAAAGAGTTCAAATCAATGGAATCATAACTTCAGCCTTTCCAAGGTAAAATATTTTACTAGACTGGCTCCAAAAGACAACTGACTGTTAGTAACCTTTTAAGTTCAGTACTCAGACATATGTGTGAGACTTGAGAGTGCAAGTCTATAATACTTATTATAATTCAAACTTATTACCAAGAAAGTAGAGACAAAAAAACTCTTACACTGAAATTTTGCTTCATATTTTATGATAATTTTATGCACTCTTATTGTTTAGAAACTAAAAGATTATTCCTCTACAAGAAAAGCTCCCAACATGCAAAATTTCTGATATATTTAAGTTGTGTTGGAATAAGAATTGGAAGAGGCTAGCCGTACTTAATGACTGGTTGGCTAGCCGTACTTATTCTTAATATGATGGCTAGACTGACCATTAAAAAGGCCTTCTGAATTGTAAATAAATTTTTAGTTTGCAGCAGACTAAAGTATTTGTATTTGAGACGAAACCAGGTGCCTTAATGACAGTGCATGTATTTTAAACCTCCTGTTTTCTAATGTTAACAGGGCCTAAGATAAGTACGGCTAGACTGTCAGGCTAGCCGTACTTGTTGGCTGAATTGTAAATGAAATTTTAGTTTTGCAAAGCCTAAAATATTTGTATTTCAGACAAAACCAAAAGGTGCCTAACTGACTTGCATTATTTAAGCCTGAATAACTAGATCTAGATCTAATGAGACCTGAGTACTCAACAGGTTCGAGTCGATAGGGCCAAACCTAGATCTAAGTACGGCTAAACTGGCAGTCTAACTGTACTAAGTACGGCTAGCCACTTCGATAAGAATTTTCAACACAATTCTCAAAGCAATTCAAAGTAAACTGAACCTAATTTTTTCCAAGTGCATGATGGGAAACCACGTGAGTTAAACATTATTACATTTAAAACTCAGTTACCCCTAGCGGACGATCATGGGTCTCAACTCAGAATTCTAAAAAAGGAGGAACTTTTCGGGTGATCGCCACAGAAGCCCATTTTCGCGAAACACCTATTATTATTTTACTGTTGAACCCTAGAATGCAGAAATAAAAACCATCAATTTACCAAGGCAAGGTTATTTCACACCAATTTGAGGGTTTGGGAGATAATATCAAGTAAGAGTCACGTACCAAATATTTACAATCTTGATTACGTACAGAAAGTGGTGGCGCCTGGGGTCTTGTGCGACTTACTTATATTTTCCCTTCATCATATTCGCCTGCATATATAAACCATATAAAAATGAATCTTGTTTTGAGCCTAGAACCAGAATATCGACGATCATGATTCATGTCATATATATAGATCTAGGCCTATATAATAAACGTGAAAGACAAAAATTAATGCTCAAAGTATAGTAGAATAGCTCAAGCAGACCTATTCAGTGTGAGAGGTGTAAGAACTGTGGGAGGGCAAGATGCAGTGATACTGAAAATCTGCGAATCTTGAACAGAAAGCTAAAATATAAAGATCTAATTTACTGTCACCAATCCAAAGAAACCCGAACACTTAGGCCGCTAAGTCCCATAACACGCTTACAAGTTATGACGGTTCCCGTATTCACACAAAGCCTGCACCAACGCACACTTTACTTTGCAGAGAGCTGTAGATAAGGTAGTAATCAAAATTCTAAACATAAAACATATTTGCTTCCAGTTTCAGGTTTTTTTTGTCCTCTGGTGTTGCGTCCAGCCCTCCCCCTATCCCCGAGTGCGTCTTTTCAAAAAAATCAATACCCCCCCCCCCCCCCCCAGTCCTGTACTTCGAAGCGCTCAGAACGCACGCAGGTTCATTGACCGGTCCCAATGGCGAGCCCGACAAGACACTTAACTTTCTTTTCGTTTTTTTCTTGTGTGTGTGTGTGTGTGTGTGTGTGTGTGTGTGTGTTATCCCCACAAGTGACAGCACAGTGACAAATTTCATGGCGACACCACGTTTGTAATGCCGAACCTGCATGTTACAATAATTGTTGCGTTATCAGACAATTACTGACAAACTTCTTGATGGTAACGAAAGCGAAAGTAGATCTTGATTATTCCAGTCGAACCTTGGTGACAAAATTCCGCTTGCCGCCAAAGCCACCAGTTCGCGTGAAACGTACTCTCTGAGCCGAATTAATATCACAATCCAGACTGGCAGAAATGAACTTAAAGACGTTATTGGATTTGGTTTTCAAATATGAGATCTTTTATGTATTTTCCCAGGTCTCGGTGATTTTTAAAAAATTCCCGGGACCTGGCAACCACCCTGCTCCCAACAACTCTCTTTCTGATTGGCCGGCTGTCGCGGTTGCGGAGTTTAGCGGAGGAAATGGCAGTAGCGGAAATCTGCTAAATAGCGGACTATTGAGACCCATGACGATGGAAGAGTCCAATGACATGCGTCCAGTCCTCGAGTGAACAATCAGCATTTGGCCAGATCATAGAATGCATGAAGTATTACCGCACACATGACATTTCTAACAAAACCTTTTAGGTTTAATTTTACCCTGAATTGTAAAAAAAAAACCCCATCTTACTGATTCTTTCTTTGCTTTGACACAGTTTTTGTCATTTTATAAACATTTTTCATGCACACATCCCTTAACATATTTCACAAAATACTGACAAAAATTCTGTCAAAATGGGGCAAATAAATTCTTCCGCGGTGAAAGTGTTTAAACATCTCACCAACAGGGTCATCTGGCTGACGAACTTTCTCCCACTCCTCCTGTCTCTTCTGGCGCTGCTCATGCACCTCTTCCTCAGAGACAAATTTCTTGAACTGTCCGCTCATCGTTTGGAATCCTTGGACAGTAGAGGAAAAAAATAAAATCTTAGAAACTTGACATCTTAACTTGACTCAGTCTGGTACTGGAAGAAAACAATCAATGTTATTATTGTCAACAAAAGTCAACGGAAAGCATCAAATTCAAACCACTAGATATAGATCTAGAGTACGACAAGGCACCTCGGCCCAGTCAGGTCAAGTCAGCCGACTGCCTAAACAGTGTTGTTCCAACTCATTATAAAGCCAATCTTGATTGAATATCTTGTTTTAATTTATTTAAACAAATGTAGAGATCTAATCTTTGTTGAGTAAATTCACATGTTAACAATTTTGTGGGTTTTGTTTCCCCTTTCACCAATTTTCACTGATTTTTTGCGAGAGAGCCAGTTGAATCGAAAGTAGGTCCACCATTTTTCATGTCCATAACATGAACTAGAAATCTAGATCTAGAGAAGCTCACCCAACCCGCGACCACTTGTCGTATTTTGCTTCTCAGCGGTATCTGTCGGCAAAATAGGTCAGGCAATCCATGTTCAGGGCCACTTCAGGGTGTCAACTTACGGTTTATACCGTGATATCGTCACTCATTCCAAAACGTCATTCGCAGATGTCGTATTTTAACATTTTAATGTTCTGCCCTAGGCGCGACTGCATGCCGTCAGAGGGACCGCATATGGAACGGGATGCGACCATGTGTGCACAGACATAACAGGTGCAAGAAAGTTGTAAGTACACTATTTAAAGGTTAGTATAATATAATCATTTCTTTAGCAAATTATGATGAAAACAATTATCTTATTATAAACAGAGGGTATAGATCTAGAGACAAGTGGTTGCGGGTTGGGCCAGCTACTCTAGTTTAGTAACTGTTCGAAAACTTCTCTAAGATTACTAAGAATGTTTCTGATAAAAAGCCTTTCACTTCGAACTCGACTGTGGCACTAGCAGACGACTGACGTTCTCGGAAAAGGATTGACCAAAAGTGGAACTAGACAAGACACGTAACTCTAATAAAACAGATTGCACACGAGCTGCACAAAAGGAAAAATGGGGAACTGGTCGCGCTCAGGGCACCCTCGCGCCAAGGGCCGATGTCTCTAGATCTAGATCTAGAGTCTAGATGTTCTTTTATCATAGGCCAGCTCTATTCGGACTCGAGCCCGAATATGGGTTTTATCTATTCGAACTCGGGTCCGAAAAAAAAAGGTTTATTTATTTGGACTCAGCTTCTAAGTGAGTTGTGTGAGTGTAAGGAGGTTACATCATATAAATGTCATCATGGAATTTTTTATGTAAAACTACAAGTAGAACTAGAATTGCTTACTAGAACTGCGTAATTGGGTCAAAAGTAAAAAAGGACTGCACTTTCATTAGATCTACCCAATGGCAGTGTCTAAGTACACGGTAACCGACAACTCAGGGTCTTTCCACCACCACTGTTTTTCCACATGTTTAATTTCATTTTGTTGTGTGTTATAGTTTTTCTGTAATTTTTTCTTTTTTTAATTACATGGCACAAAATCGACAGCCTTGGCCTCTTCCCAACACCCCTTACCCCAGCAAGCCGAGAAAGCGAGATCGCTACGCGCAATCTCATTGGTCGACATAATTATCTTTGCCCCCGGCAAGGTAGGCTGAACTTACTCACTCTGTTCATACTAATGATACAGGGAGGGCCAGTTTAGATAGATCTAGATATCTAGTAATTGGATATTAAAGCTCACGTCTCGACTGTTATTGTTGGGCGCGATCTGTCGATTTGCGCGATCGATCAATCGCACAGTGCATTTGGTTGATCGAGGAAACGTGCGACAATCCATCGATTGTTCCGCAGTCTGTTGATCAGCGGATCGCACAGCGCTTTTTGTTGATCCGTGAAATACAGTCAAACCTGCCCTGACGGCCACCTCAAAAGACGGCCACCTGTACAAACGGCCATTTTCAATTTCCCCGCGTGCGTATTTTCCATATAATTTAACTGTGTAAAATAGGCACCTGTCATGTCATAAATTGTGCACTGGCCCCTGGCATTGTGGGCGAGCCGTCATAATCTTATCCCTTGTCGTTGTTGTTAGGTAGTCTCTCCAACCGATCATGTTGCGTAGGCCCCTCCCACTGTTGACCAATAGGTACCAATTTTCAGCTGCTGGTGAGGTAAGCATGTGATCCCTCATAACCCATAAAAAGCCCCGCCCAGAACTCATACACAAATCATATGTGAGATGAGTGGTCACTGTTTCAGCAAGTGATAGCACAGGACAAAATATTGATTTATTTTCATTCTGGTAGTACGTAGATACTGAGACTAGGCGCCCGGTTACCGTGTACGTAGATACTGAGACTAGGCGCCCGGTTACCGTGTACGTAGACTCCGTAAAAAAAACAAAAAAACTAAAACTGCGCACTGAACGAACCCGAACTGCTGATGAACAGCAGTCGATATGCACACGCAAGGAGGTGCTATTCCTATTCTTCTTCTGGAAAAATGAAAGAGAGCTTCAAAACAGACTGCAGCGCCATCTGAAGCAAAGAGCATACTTCCTGCGGACACTTTTTTGGCTGAGTGGCCCATCTTGTGTGTACTATCTTTGTCTAGGCTACTGATAAAACATACAACATTGATACCGACTATTTAAATCAGTATCGATATTTCAGTAGATTTTTAGATCTAGGCCTACACAAGTCGGGACCACCATATCCAAGTAGTGCCGCGCTGTCACTTCAGCCATCAGAACTTCCGATGACGAAGTGCAGATTCTGATTAGGCTTGATATTTTACACACGGCGACACAGCATTTTATTTAGCACTGGCGCTAATCGCAACGCGGCGTTTTATTTAGCACAGGCGCTAATCGCAACGCGACGTTGCAAATAGATCTAGAATTCTAGGCACTTTCTAAATTTTAATGTCTTGATAAAAATGTTGAGCGAAGTGGCTAGCCATAGATTTCTAGATTCTAGCTTGTTTCCACAACCTCTAACCATTTTCATAGGCGTCCTACCAAATCAGTTCTTTAAATCCTGAACACTAAACCCCATGAATTATTTCCCAAAACTTCAAACGAGCATCAGTGTCACTCACCCAATTTACGTCGCCAGTCGGCAAATTAGAGAAAACAATTCACAGTACTGTGACAGTAAATCTGCACAACAACAACTTGAAAATACATTCACGACTCACGTTCGACGGAGAACCCCAGATTTACTCCAGCGGTAAATAAAAATTAAACTGGCGAAAATTAGCCGGTCGAGATTTTATTTAGCCGGTTTTTTTCGTACTCCTCGCCGTTAAAATCACCTCATTTGGCCTTTTCAATTTTCATTTCCTTGGGTCAGGGAGACACAACAACCTGCAGATAAAAGCCAGAAAAATATCCAAACAGTTCATCATTCGGAGGGGTTGAACGCCCAGTCTGGGATTCAAACCATGGCAATCCGCTCCTAATTTAATGAGTCCAACATGTAGTCCATAGGCCTACTATAATACAAAGGCGGAGACCGACAATGGTAATGGAGCAGCACTCAGCTGGAGTTAAAATTGATTTTACGAAGTGGCTAGCCGTACTCTAGCCTGAGAGTCCAGTAAGTACGGCTAGACTGCCAGTCTAGCGTACTTAGATCTAGATCTAGGTTTGGCCCTATCGACTCGAACCTGTTGAGTACACAGGTCTCATTAGATCTAGAGATCTAGATCTAGAAGTTATTCTGGTTTAAATAATGCAAGTCAGTAAGGCACCTTTTGGTTTTGTCTGAAATACAAATACTTTAGGCTTTGCAAACTAAAAATTTCATTTACAATTCAGTCATAAAGTACGGCTAGCCTGACAGTCCAGCCGTAGATCTGCTTGTCTTAGGCCTTATTAACATTAGAAAATAGGAGGTTTAAAATACATGCACTGTCATTAAGGCACCTGGTTTCGTCTCAAATACAAATACTTTAGGTACTGCAAACTAAAAATGTATTTACAATTCAGTAGGCCTTTTTATGGCCAGTCTAGCCATCATATTATTATTAAGAATAAGTACGGCTAGCCCAGCTGTCTAGCCGTACTTAAGTACGCTCTACATAGCAGTCAAGCCGTCATTAAGTACAGTTAGCCTCTTCCTTAAAGTCATTGTTAAAGGCAAACAAATAATATTACCATTCTCGTGCCCTCAGCATTTGCTGGGTTAGTAGACAAAAGGTAATGTCACATTTTCGAGCATGCTCTCTCTGTCTCTGTTTCTATCTGTCTCTCTCAGTCTTTCTACTCTCTCTTTCTCTCTTTCTCTCTCTCTCTCTCTCTCTCTCTCTCTCTGTCTCGCACACACACACACACTCTCTCTCTATCTCTCTTTTTTATGTTGTTAGACTTCAAATTTGTTTTCTCAATTTTATGCTCTCCATACTTTCAAGCTCAGTCTCCCTTTCAAAGAAGTGTGATCGTTTGAACTTTGAAAGCGGGTAAATTGATACACAGGGACTTGCAAAACCCAGCTGAATAATAATATTTCGTTGTCAAATCTGGAAACAAGCACATACCCGGAAGCTCTAAATAACAAACATGAGAGTTATCTACCCCTTGCAGGGGAGATTATTCTCATGTTTTTTCAACTCTGCCTGCTGGAAGAATGAAAACTGTGGAGGAATAGGCTAGAGATAGGTTCTTATATTATTAATATTGGACCAAAAATCTTGCAGATAAGCCTCCTTCTTGTAAAGTCTATGTGAAATACCTAGACGTGCATATTGGGATCGTACTAGTTTTTTTTCTAACGATAGTTGGCAGTGAAAACTGAATTACTGAATGAGGTAAAACCTCAGCCTCGGTGATTCTGAGTTGTCAATGACCAACAATGTCGGTACTAAATTCTAGAGAGTAGACAGTAGGCCTAGAGTCTAGATTCTAGCTCTAAGTCTAGACGTCTAGATCTAGATCTATCTAAATCTAATCTAGATGTGGAATCATGGAATTTCAGGTCAGTAATTCTCAGTCGGCCCAGCAGTGTTTCGGTTTAGTTGACTACGAAGATTCCGACTCTGAAAATGAAAGTGAAGTCAGGCCGAATACTGTTAGTGTTGCAGATTCATCTGATGTCTGTCTCAACTGTATGAAGAGGCAGACAAACAGGTCTCAAAGTAATCAGTTTGAACATTTCCCGCAAAATGGAACCCTTACAACATTAGCAACAGATGAATGTCAGTGTGGCCAGGGCAGTACTTCTAAGACTAAGAGACTGAAATGTGAGTCTACGAAAGATATTTTTCAAGACCAGGAACTTCAAGATGGTGCAATGGCAGTCGACGAAGTGACAGTATCATCAGCAAAGCAAAGTCACAGTGCAACAGCGAATGGATTAGAAACTGATGCTGGTATTGTTCCGAGGTCTACATTCTCTTTTTGTGATGATGGAGGTTCCAAGGCTAAAAAGATGAAATTAAGTGACAGGTATTTGGTCCAATTTGTAGAACTTTATTTAAGCTATTTTCAACATAAAAAACCTGGTCACTGAGAGATTTATAGTGCAGATCAGGTTTTTTATTTTAGGCAAATTTACAGGATGCAACTTAACTCTTTCTATAGTCTACTAGATCTAGATGTTGGGCGCGATCTGTCGATTTGCGCGATCCATCAATCGCGCAGCGCGTTTGGTTGATTGAGGAAACGCGCGACAATCCATCGATTGTTGCGCATTCTGTTGATCAGCGGATCGCGCAGCGCTTTTTGTCAATCCGTTTGGCTTGGTTGCGCATTCTATAGATCTTACCGCTGAGTTTTGTTATGTTTTGTTGTCGTCCCGAGTGTAATACATGAATTTTAGTTTCACTCTCCAAAGTCAAACCGAAACTGAATGGAAGTAACTGGAAGTCAGGATTACAATAACGAACTTTTCGGACTCTGATTTGAGTCCAGTATGATGTCCTTTAAGACTTCCGACCCTTGTTTCAAAATATTTCCAGCATTTCTGAACATTTTTAAAATTATAAATGATAACAATTGAGACGTGAGCTTTAATATCCAGTCACTAGATCCATCAAAACTGGCCCTCCCTGCGTCATTAGTACCGTATGACATATATAACAAAACTAGGCCCTAGAGCTGACCTTGCTGGGGGCAAAGTTAATATTGTCGACCAATGAGACTGCGTGTTGCCATATCGCACTCTTGGCTTATGATGGGGGAAGAGGTGTTGGGAAGAGGCTGCGGCTGTCGATTTTGTGCGATGTGATAAAAATTTTACAGAAAAACTCAATACTCAACAAAATCAACATGTGGAAAGACAAATGGTGGTGGAAGTAATGATGATGCTGCAGTGGTGGTGGAAAGACCCTGAGTTGTCGGTTACCGTGTAGGCCTACTTAGACACTGCTATTGGGTAGAACTAATGAGAGTGCAGTCTTTTGACTTTTGACACAATTACACAGTCCTAGTAAAATTAAAACACAAAAAGAGGGGAAAATTAAAGACAGCAGACAGCAATATAAATAGTATGTAATGTACTTATTATATTCTCCGCATGAAAATAGATACAATAGACATCTTAAAACTTATCAAAATACATGTCTAATATATTAGGAAGTAGCTTTGTTGTTTTTGTCTTTAAAAAAAAATTATGCAAAAATCGCGGCTGCGATTCGCGGGTCACGGCCGCGACAAACGCAGATGCTAGAAATGGAGAGGTTGGTTGTGCTCGAGGTGCTCTTGTTCAAGGAAACAATGAAGAAAACAATACTTGTATATAATACATTTTTAATCAACACACAACAATTTATCACAAGCCAGTAAATCTTGACCATATTTGGAATACCACATGAAGTACTCAGCCAATCAAATCCATCCAAATAGTGGGTGCAGGTGCTCGGTTTAACGTCGTGTCAATTTATCTGCCTCACTCAACCGTCAACACTTTAAGTTCAACACACAACTCATCTTGGAAGCAAAACAACAGGACGCTCAAACTCAAAGACTGACATGCTCAGGAAACCAATTTTCTTCTTTAAAAAAAAATTCAATTCATCATCATAGTGACATACACATAGTATCGACAGAATGCGCAGTAAGTATATATATTTCACGGATCGACAAAAAGCACTGCGCGATCCGCTGATCAACAGAATGTGCAACAATCGATGGATTGTCGTGCGTTTCCTCGATCAACCAAATGCGCTGCGTGATTGATGGATTGCGCAAATCGACAGATCGCGCCCAACATAGATCTAGAGAGCTTACTTGGTAGACCTACCTAATTTTTTTCTCTTAGCTGACATATCACCTGTTGTGAAATATAGTAGACTAGGGATTTTGTTTGATTTGTTTGACTGTTTTGTTTCACGCTTGTAGTAGCCTAGTAGGACTATAGAGACACAGTACGTCCAGTGGGCTGGTTGGTGGGAACGGTTTTATTTAATAATCTCTTAAATCACATTAATTCTATATAAATCTCTGAAAGGGGTATACCCATTATGCCGGGGGTCCTTTTTTTGGTGCTAAATCTAAAATTGACAAAAGTGTCATTAAATGGGTAATTAAATCGAAACTAGCAAACCTATTTTGATAGTTCTTCAACGAGTGTCTACGTACACGGTAACTGGGTACCTAGTCTCAATATCTACGTACACTGTAACCGGGCACCTAGTCTCACCTAGTCTCAGTATCTACGTACACGGTAACTGGGCTCTTAGTCTCAGTATCTACGTACACGGTAAATCGGAATGAAAATAAATCAATATTTTGTCCTATGCTGTCACTTGCTGAAAAAAGAGAAAGTCATACAAGCATCTTGTCGGGCTCGCCATCGTGACCGGTCAGTGAACCTGTGCGTGTGCATCACATTGTGGGTACGGGTTGGGGGTCACCAAAGTTCATTCAAAGCCTGTGCGCTGCGAAGTATAGGGCTCCGGAATGGGAGGGATTTATTGATTCTTTTTAAAGGTACAGTCGGGGGAGGGGTGGGGATGAAGGCAACACCGGATGACAAAAACTGAACTTGGAGTTCTGAACTGCCCGGTTATCGTGTAAGTGACACTGAGACTACATACCCGGTTGCCGTTACCGTGTACATAGATATTGAGGCTACATGCCCGGTTACCATGTACATGACCCTGCTGGTTACCGTGTATGTAGACACTCCGTTTCCTCAATTGCCGAAAAGTAATTTGATGTTGAAGTCGTAAAGGAATGTGCCCGTGTCAGCGGCTCACAGGCGCAGTGGTTCTGACAGCGAGCCGCTGGAAACTGCTTTCCGGAGATAAAGAGTTAAAGAGAGAAAGCTGAGCTGGATAAAAATCACTTTTTACCCAAATTTTCTTTTTTGCACCCTTTTTTAAATTTTAGTGTGGTTGATTTGTGCGCAAGCACATGATGTATAGTGTGTAGAGGGTCTGCAAAGTTCAGGATTTTTTTTTTCATTACCAGTTGACATAAATTTAAGTGTTTGTATTATAACATGATGATTTTATCAAATTATAATAATAAAATATAATCATTTCATGCTGTGTGAAAGGTTAGTAGGCATGTATTTAGAAGAAATTGGCTTTGCAAAAACAGTTTCTGCTACAAGTTACTCAATTTATTCATGTTATTGTTACTGCTTGAAAAGTAACCAGCACCACTTTAACATTATTGCTTTATGTATCGCCTCAGGAGACGTGTGTGTCCTTTCTACATGATGCATTGGTCCATAGAAGAAGTCAAAAAGAGAAAGTGGCAATCAGTATCTGATATCATTTTCCTTCGCCGATTCTTCATCCATTTGAAATTCTTTTGGCGCAATTTGCTGCACTATTTCAGAATTATTTTATATTATATTTTATTCATGAGGCTTTATTTTGTTCTGTAACCTGATTACTTGACCCTGGGAACAACATCATAGCACTCCGGGCATTGCCATACACGTGCTCCGTTCCCTGCTCCAATATCCACCTCAGAGTCCATCTGCTGATCGTTCCGGTGTTTATTTGGTTAATAACCCATGTTTCCATCCCCTCATGCTGGTTCTGCCACTTCCTCTGAAGACACTCAGTCTTCAAGTCGTAAGATTGGCGCATAGTCATGCTCAATTTTCTTATCTTCAAATGTGGTGGCAAGGGCCTTCACGACATCATTTTTGTCCATTTTAATGTCAGTATTGACTGGCGCACGGCTTGCCAGTTTGTCTGCTTGTTCATTTCCCACCACACCCATATGGCTTGGAGCATAGATCCACATTATTTTTCTCAGTTTGGTTTCTATGCTTTACAGTCACTGTTCTGTGAATAGCTCTTAGTCTTAAGCTCTTCTGTTTTGGGTTTTGATAAACAATTTCAAACTTTCGTTTCATTGTAGTGACAAATTGGAGCAACTGTCTGTTCCAAGCTCCATTCAGTCGATGTTTCGAGGTTTCCATCAGAAATGGGAGGATAACCCAAGTGAACACGAGGAGAGGATTCGTTCTTTTCCCCATGTAGAAGGCAACTGGGCAACACACGTATTCATTCAAGGTTATACAAACTGTTATTTTAATCTTTTAAAAATCTGTTTTTGTATATTTTAGAATTATCATATGAATCCTGGAACACTTGAATTCAATATCTGGGGTGTTGATGTGAAATATGAATTCAGATTTAGGAAAAGAATGGGTGGGACTTGTTTTCGGAATATTAATCTTGAGTTTTTGTATCCCTTCATCCAATGTTGCAAAAAATTATTGTTGGCTTTTTTTAGGTATTAAAATTTGATTAAATTTTACATTAAAAAATTAAAATTAAGCATTAATTTAGAATAATTTCAGATTTTGTGAACTGAATGTGGTAGGTCTGAATCGGAGAACTTTACTAATACTATGTTTCCCATTCAGTACTGACCTTTCAAATGAGGATTTAGCAGCCATTCTTTGCCACCTTGATGTTTCATGGAGCTCAAAGATTGGGTTACAATGATAGTGTTGTGCTTGTTGGTCTTCCCTCTTCAAATGAATATACAGTCGAACCTGCCATGACGGCCACCTGTACAAACAGCCGCTTTCCATTTCCTCCCTTGCGTTTTTTTTCTATATTTAACTGCGTAAAACGGGCACCTGTCCAACGCGACGTGGCCACCCTGTATCAACGGACAACCAAATTTACCTGTCCGAGACGGCCAGGCTTTGTCAAAAACAATGCGTTTTCCCATGGCGCTGTCGACGAACTGTCATAATTCATTCACCTGTCATTATTGTCAGTCCCTCGAAGGAATGAAACGGTCGTGTTGCTTAGGCTGCTCCCTGTGTTTACCCAAGTTGATCAATGGACAACAATAAATTTTCAACTTTTGGTAAGGGAAGCGTGTGATCCGTCATAACCCATAAGCCCCGCCCTCAACTCAGTCCCTAAACCAAGTCCATAACAATCGAAGTCAACCCATACTGGCTACAGCAGTGTCGCTCGTTCGCCGAATGGGGGTGACCAGTTTGTTTTACTATGCTCTTGGTCTTTCTTGTCTGATACATTTCGTTTTGTTTTGATCCTTTACGAAACTATAATTTTGTTTAAAGCAATGATAATAAAGCTAACTTACAAAAAGTCCAACAAAAACTATCCTATCCTTCCCCCCCCCCCCCCTCCCTTTTTTTCAAAAAAGAAAACAAAAAACAAATAGACAATAAACATTTTAATGAGCTCTACGGCAGTTGTAAGCGTGAGACCACCTCCAGTTGTGACCTCAGAAGTAAATGGTTTGTTTTTCTTCATTTTGATAAGTCCTGCCTAAGATGGCCTCCTGTTTTATACGACCACTTTTCTCCTCGACAATGCGTGGCCGTCTTACACAGGTTGGACTGTATATCTTTGTGTATGTCTTGTCATTGAAGACCTGCAACGAAATTACTCATTGCCATAGAGTGGTGTTGTTTTTCTAATTGGTTTTCTTGTTATGCTTTATCGGATTCCATCAGTGAGCTGGAATGAAAAGTTTTTCGAGTTTGTGAACTGCCTAGTGAACTTCTTGAAGCCAGTGCCTTTCCATGCCATGCCCGAGTTCCACGTCAGTCTTTCCCGCACTGTTCCAATACGCCACCACTGGATTGACCCATTGGTGGACTCGCTGCGCTCAAGCTTTAAGCCTCTACAGACGTAAGAAACTCTGCTTCTGGCTACTGTCTTTTACGCATAATTGTATTTTTGGCAATTAAAAAAAAACAACCCCAATGTTGACTGCTCAGTGTAAGACTCAGTCATACCTCGCTTTTCAAAATGGCTTATGGCAGAGTCTTTCACAAGCAGTCGATGTACTTTGTTCCACTACTGAAAAACCCAGCCGATAATTATAGTTCAGTATGTATAAATTATATAAATCTTGATTCAGTCATCAGAAGCTCAAGATTTAACTTTGAGTCAGGATATTTCTAGACATGGTACAGGTCAACTTGTTGATGTGGTTTGTATGGCAGACTGCCATGTTTGTTCTTCTCAAAACGCCTCTATAAGTTGATGTGTAAACTTAAGCATTCATAAAACAATATGAACTTCCAGTATTATTGATTCTGCATGATATTGATATATTTGCTTTTTTATCTTTGTTATTGCATGTTGAACATGTTTTGTTAAGACCTTAAAAATGTGTGTATGAAAAGGGATTGAGTGGTACTTGCATTTTGTTTTCTTGAATTCATTCACAAATTATTTCTCACTAACATAAATTGTTACTTTTAATTGGTTGAGTCCATTGCTGTGGTGTCGTTGGTACGAAATGTTTATATGCAACCTGTGAAGAATCCAGTTTTGAGTCTTATAGAGTCCCATGTGTTCATTGTCTCTCATCTCCCGTTTGCATTTTTTTAACCTTTTGCCTGATAGGACAATCAGTGACCTGTCAGCTGTGAGGATGTTTACAAATGATGAAAAGACACGGTATGTTTTGATTGTTGTTCTAGCCACTACCCGTACTATCTGTTTGGTTTCTAGTCATTGTTGAAATTAGAATTTATTAGTAAATTTTTTGTTATCATGAAAATAGTTTCTGTTATATTTAGCAAAAGCATTATATATATCGTCATGCTCATAAGATTAATGCCTACGCCGTTTTTTAGCCATTTTGAGAAAAAAACTGTTTCTTTTGAAATATTGACTCTTTGAAACATTTGAATCTTGGTTGTTGTTGTTGTTGTTATCGATCCAGTAACAGCTGAGCTCTCACCTTTCTGTCCAGTGAATTTTGGTACACTCCACTGATTTTATATTTGGATATATTTGTTTGTCCAAGGGGGAGGTCAGAGGAATCGTGCATTGTTGATATTGGACATGAAAGCTTTTTTAACTTTCAGGACATGGTATTTATTGCTTGTTTGTTTCGTGCTTTTGTAGAGATTCTAGCAAAGTGCTCAAGTCTGTACAAGTTTGAATAAATGGAGACTATGCCGTATGTCTCATAAATGATACAACAGATATCCAAGTGTAGGACCTAGGGTGTTTGTTAGAAAAAAATTTTTACGCTTGATTTTTCCCAACCAGCCTGCTTTCTTCTTATGTATCTCAGTTGTACTTTTCACAGTACGGTATTTAAAAGTAAACACTACTTCTAAACAGTGGGAAAGACCAGTTATAGGGAAGAACAAATGCTTTATTGTTATTGTCTTAAAAAAAAAAAGTAACTCCAAATCTTTGTGCTCACCATGTGCAGTAGAGTAAGAAAAAAAGTGAATCATTTTTCTTTTAACTGCAATATTATTCTAGAATTTATCAACTGAAAGCAATCATTGACATTCTTTTCTTCAAGAACTTGGGGCTTAAAAAAGAAAGAAAAAGCCCCTGGAAGCTGACTTGTGAATACATGCTTCTTTACATTGTGGAACGTAAGGTTCACTTAATTTTGAATTAGAAACTTACTGTATTTTCTTTTACTTATTCAATGTTTTGACTTTATCTCATGGCTTTTTCTGCAGAACAGAACATGTATCTGTACTGTATGTCTTACATTTTTAAAAATAATTTGAGGAGAGATTTTGTGTCTGAACTTGCTCCTTTTCCTACTCCTCAGAACTTTTCTATGCCTGGAGTTGGCAGAGGAGGACACTCTTCTCCGAGAGTATGTCTATGCTGTGGACAAAAGTTTTGCAGAATTTAGATTGCCAGAATACTATGAGGTGGGTGGCAGTTTTTGCATTTTTTTTTCTGTGTCATTCTGTATGGGAAGTTGGTTTACTCCTTTTAGTTAACCTTATCCGTACGTCATGTTTTACTATCATATCCATACGACGTGGGGAACTCTGTGTCACCACTTTCCAAAGAGGAAATTTACTTGTTAATCCAATTCGTACGCTTTGCATAGCAGTCTGTCAAAATGATTTTTTGAGAAATACTGATGGTTTACTGTGTACTGTTGCCTGATATTTTTTACTCTATCCTGATTCTGTTTTTTATTTTCAGTGTCTAAATATGGCTATGGTGTCATTGATTACTTCACTTGTGTGTGTGGATAGTGCTTCTGGTTGTCTTACTTCTTTCCTTTCCCTCTGTTGATTCCATCTTGTTAGTTTTAGTAAGAGATGTACAGCTCATGCAACATAATGCCATATGAGTGCTGAAGATTAGAGGAGTTACAGGAGAGCAACAAACATAAAAAAAGGAGGAGAGATAAGGGAAGGTAGATGTTTGATAGGAAAGACTGAGCAAACTACACTAGAGTGCTCACCAACCACCCACAGCTGTCGATGTGCCTTTTCCCCTGCACTGAAAGGCAGTTGTTGTTTTCAATGTCCTTTTCTTCTCTCGGGATAAGTTCATTTAACGATTGCAAGCAGCTGATAATAGTGATAGGCGCTCCGATGTAAATTTATCATGTGTTCAAGCTTTCAGAACTTCATGGTGACATTAAAGTTAAAGATGGTTCCAGTAGGGAATGGGATAGAGGCTGCCCACGTCAGTCGTGACTCATTGGACTGGAGCAGAGGAAGATAGGACTAACGCTAACATTACTTTAACGCAGTCCCATATCATCACTCATCACTACCATTATTTCTAAAATCATCATTGCTCTCAGATCAGTGACTTACATCAATAATCCTTGAAGCTCTATCTGCAAGTTACTTGTCATGCTAAGTATGCATGCAATACACTATTGGACACTATTTCACGCACTTTTTTTCTACTAACCAGATGGTGTCAATCTTTGTATAAATGGGAAAGGGATAAAAAAATATGTTCAAGCTTAACCATGAAGCACACCACCAAAGGCCACGAGTCTTTTGTGGGGTGGGGTAGGGCAAAGACGTTTTGAAGAAGTACATGTAGTTTTACCTCACAAATATCTGTATTACCATACTTCGTCCCTCTAAACACGTACTAGCGTAAGCCACATCTGACCCGAAATCGAGTTACGGCAGTCGCGCGATTCCCTTTATCCGATACTGCATCCTCTCAAAAGATGATAGGAATCGAGCAATAAATAGCTGAGATATAGTCGATTCCAGTTTGAACGTATCCCACTTGCCCACAAAAAGATACAGCACGTACTAACACACTGTTGGTTACGCTAGTGCGTGACGTACACTTTGACCCATTGTTGTGTTTTTATTATACGGCACATACTAACGTAAGCCACACAGCCGGGGCTGAGCCTATGGCAACAAAACATCGCATAGCGCTTCTACAGAGCGGGAAGACAAGCTAAACTACACACGTGGGCTTCGTGTGAGGCAGTCAATGCTCGGGACTCCACTCCTGTGACTACGACTCAGATGGCGATCAGGAATTCAACCCTGGAACATGCGAGGTCAGAAGATGCAATGCTGAAGTATGGGCGGCTTGTCCTGATTGTGAAATCCTTCTTTGCTTTATCATTTCAATGAAGAGATTGCATCCTGTGTTCTGCATGGAAAAAGCACAAGAGAGTTAAAAGAAAAAAATCAACGAGTAGAAGCTGTAGGTAGACCCTCAAAGTATAAGATTCCCGCTGGTGTGAATGTGAACACTGATGCTCCCGATCAGTTTCAGGCAAAGGAAACAGTCATTGATGAGGGGGTGGAAGAATGCAAAGATCAGTTCCCGAGCAATACACAGTGGAGGGAAGTGAGAAAGAAGTTAAAAAAGGAAAAACTCTGAGTAGTCCGATCAAACAAACAGAAGGAAGCCAAAATGAAGAGGAATTTGGGACAAGAGTACACAAGCATGGAGACAAAAAAGACTGTGGCCGCCAAACACATAAAAGCAAGATGTAAAGGAGACACGTGTGCAAAGCAGAAGAAACAATGCTCAACAATTACTGACGAGCAGAGGCAGGCCGTTCTTTATTCGTATCACTCCCTTAGAGATCTAAGAATGAAACGGCAGTTTCTTGTGAGACATGTCAAATGCTGTAAAACAAAGAGGAAATACACTGAAGGCGAATCACGAAGAAGTAATACCAGACAGTACATGCTTACAGTTGGGGAGAGTTTTGTTCCAGTCTGCAAATTGTTTTTCTTTAACACTTTGGGCATTTCAGAACAGAGCGCCAGAACGGCATTGAACAAAGTTACTTCTACTGGTATAGTGACAAACAAGGTGGGAGGCAATCTGAGGCAGAAAGAGAAAGAGGTGCATTTGTTCGCCAAGCAACATCTGATCACTTGGACAGATTTCCTAAAGTCGAATCTCATTACTGTAGAGAAAAATCAACAAGAGAGTATCTAAGCCCTGAACTCAGCAAATGGAACATGTACCACATGTTCATCCAGGAATGGCTACCCAGGACAAGGCCACCAAGCTTCACTACATACAACGATGTATTCAAAAGTAACAATCTGTCAATCCATCGGCCCAAGAAAGACCAGTGCTCTCTTTGTGTCAATTATCACCAAGGAAATGAAGAAACAAAGATAGGTCTTAGGGAAAAGTTTGAGATCCATGTGGGAGCAAAAGAAAAGGTCAGGGAAATAAAGGATCTATGCAAGAAAGAAGCTCAGGAAAGTGAAAACATTCTCTGAGCAAGTTTTGATTTGCAGCAGGTCATTTCCCTCCCTATGTCTGAGGAGAGCACCATCTTTTACAAAAGGAGGTTGTCGAACTACAACCTGACTTTCTATAAGATTGCTAACAGAGATTGTCACTGCTTCACTTGGGATGAAATACAAAGCAGACGTGTATCCTCGGAAATTTCGACTAGAGTCCACTGTGCCCTAGAATTTTATGACGACCGTGGCATCAAAAAAGCTTTTCTTTTTGCCGATGGATGCAGTGGTCTGAACAAAAATTCGATTACGCCTTCGATGATGTTGTATACAGTGAGCAATAGTGTGAATCTAGACGAGATTTCATTGAGGTTCTTTGAAACAAACCATGGTCAGAACGAGGTTGATTCTGCACACAGTGCAATAGGACATGCCCTGAAGAGGGCTGGGGATTTGTTCCTTCCTTCTCAGATAGTAACAGTGATGTCTCTCGCTTGACCTCAAAAGCCTTACCTGGTGAATCAGATGCAGTCTAAAGACTTTCTGGATTTTAAAGGCTTATCAAAGGACTTGAGAATCCTGGACGCACGAAGAGGATCCGATACGGAAGACACATTTTCGTGGAACAATACCATGGAACTGCGAGTCACTAAAGCACAGCCAGATAAAGTCTTCTACAAGATGAGCCACTTTGACAGTTCTTTCAATACCCTGTCCCTCAAGAGACGAAAGAATAGTGTAAAGGACTGTGCACTTCAGACACTGAACACAGGACCAACAAACATTTCGAGAGAAAAATTTACTGATTTGGTTTCACTCTGTTCCCACACTAGTAAATAAACTGGAAGAGCACAAAGCATTTTATCTTTCCTTGCCCCATGATTAGTTGGCTGTAAAGATCTCCTTTGGGGCGAAGCTATTCTACTTTGTTCGCTAGTGTGTAACTCCAGCTTAAGTATATGGCAGTCAAGTTGTGACGCAAAATGTATTTAATTTCACATTTTCTTCTCTATTTCTGTGTTACTGCTTAAAAGTCTTTGAAATATGACATTGAATTTACATCTCTACAGCAAGATCATGTTCCCAATAAGCCTAAGTGGGGCTCTAGTAGAAAAGTTCCCGGGAATCTAGAGTCTATATTATATTATTTGTTTTTTACAAATTTGAAAATTTAGTGAGCACATGCTAGCACACGTTTTTGTAGTTTGTTTTGTTTTTAGTAAAGTACTGCTTCCCATATTAAACAGGATAGTGTTTCACAAAAGTGAGTCGGTACATAATAATAAAATTCTGTAAAGAATAGTCCGTAATGAAACGTTTGTTTGAGCAGTAGATAGCTGCAGTGATTATTTAATTTCAAGTTGATTTTTTTATCATATACAGTTGACGTCTTCATATTCCGAGTTGTTGTTAACATTATCATTTGTCATGAATAATACAGCCCGTGAATTTTAAACCAAATTGATCTTTCTTTGTATTTTCATTTTTATTTGGAAGTTATTATTTAGGCGTAAGCCACGCAATGAGCGCATTATGCTTTAGAATACAAAAGCACGTACTAACGTATCCAACAATCTAGTAACGTAAGCCACACATTGAGGCTTTCAGTGTCGTAGCACGTACTAGCGTATCCGACAAAAAAGTCATTTTTCCTTCAAAACCTACTATTCTCACAAAGATGCTTTTAGCCAATTGAAAAGTAGTTGGCCCACACACGTTATGTCAAAATATTAAGGACAGGATCGGATAATTGAGGTCACAATGGGATCGTGAAAATCGCCCAAATCTTTAAACGTCTCTCCTGCAAAACTAACAAAATGTGGCTTACGCTAGTACGTGTTTTGAGGGACGACTTATTGTATTGACTGAATTTGTATCCTGCACTCCCTACATTTCCTGATGTTCTTATAATAATGCTATTTATTTATTTTTTCAGAATCCTTCATTCCACATAAGCATTGGATGGTGTTTGGGGGATGTTACCGGAGAGGTATCAGAAACAAAAATGACTCGAGTCAAGGTAAAATTTGATGTCTTCCAAAGTCAGTACAGTGGAATCCTGTTATAACGAGAGGGAGGGGACTGGTGCAAAATGTCCGTTATACTATAGCAGGATTCTCGCTATGAGGGATCCAGTAATAAATTCAAGGGAAACTGTAAAGTAGGCCTAATCTATTAGTTTGGTGTTCTGTTTATTTCTTTTTGTTATCTCCTCTGATGATGATTTTGTTTCAACATGACCTCTAGGTCTTACTTCATCAAAAATTGAACCAGGTTTCTTTCTGTAGCACTAGCGATGTTGACTGACAGCTCGGCGTTGGTGATCAGAAAGAAAGGGCTTTGGGCTAACTCGCCCACTGTTTTCCCCCACCCCACCACACCCTGTGGTGCATTCCGTCTGCTTGCGCACGTCACACATACACATTCGCTCCATCCATCACATTGCTGTGACCTCTCTATCCTCGCATTGGAGAAGTGAGAGGCACGGTAGGCCTTGATAATCTAAACTAGGCTTACGCTGGCCAATCATGCGATGCATTCTGCTTGTCTGTGCATGCTACACCCTCCCTACTCAGTCGCTCCGGCCTTCATTGTTGACAAACATGGGCTCTCCCATTCTTTGTTTCACTAGATCACCAACAAGCTTCTCAACGGGCGAGGTTTTACATTAAATATAATTGGCCTATGCACTGTGCACAGCAGCAGCAATATTCCTCTATAATTATAACCGACTCGCATGTTTGTCTGATTGCGCTATAGCAGTATTTTATTTACAAAGGTAAAGAAGAGAAAAATACAGGGTTTTAGAATAGTGGCTTTATAACAGACTTCGTTTTTTCCAGACTCGTTATAAGTGGACTCCACTGTATTGTGTTGAACCAGAGCCTCCAGTCCAGTGATTATAGAGAATGTTTGTGATATTTTTTTAAAGAGTAAGACTAAAGCTTCTTTTTATGTAGATACCATCTTTACTTTTCATAGATACAGTGGAATCCTGTATTATCGAGAAGGAGGGGACAGGTGTGAAATGTCCTTTATAGCGGATTCTCGTTAAACGGGATCCAGTTATAAATTCAAGGGAAATAAAAAAGTAGACCTAATCTATGAGTTTGGTGTTCTGTTTGTTTCTTTTTGTTATCTCCCCTGATGATGATTTTGCTCAACATGACCTCTTGGTCTTAATTGATCAAAAATCGAATCAGGTTTCTTTCTCTAGCGCTAGCGATGTTTACAGCTCAGCGTTGGCTATCAGAAAGAAAGTTCTCTAGGCCAACTCGCCACTCATCCGCTGTGTTGTATTACCCACCCCACCACATCCTGTGGTGCGTTCCGTCCGCTTGCGCACGTCACACATTCCTCCCTTATCATAGCACTGGGACCTCTCCATCCCGGCATCGGAGAAGAGAGAATCATGGTAGGCCTAGATAATTTAGACTTGTTGGCGCTCATATGACCTTATGCAGTTGCGAACGCCGCAAAACCCTCTACTATAAAAAAAATATATAATCTAGACTTGGCTGGCCTATCATGCGATGCGCTCTGCTTGTCTGCGCATGCCACTCCCTCCCCACTCCTTCGCTCTGGCCTTCATTGTTGGCACATGTTGGCTCTCCCATTCTTTGTTTCGCTTAATCACCAACAAGTCTCTCTACTGGCGAGGTTTTACGTATATATTGACAATGCACTGTGCACAGCAGAAGCAATATTCCGCTAGAACCGACTCGCGTGTTTGTCTGATTGTGCTATTGCAGTATTTTATTTACAAAGATCAAGAAGGGAAAAAACAGGGTTTTAGAAAAGTGTCTTTATAACAGACTTCTCGTTACTTGAGGACTCGTTATAAGTGGACTCCACTGTAGTAATAGTTATCCTACTCTTTTGGTATGTGGTACGGGCTGTATAATAAAAATTAGATGGACACATGAACTATGGTCGGAAGGGTAAGGAGAAGTAGAATGGATCGATTATGGGCTTTTAGGACACACAGATGGCGGCTCTATGGACATAAATTGATGTGCTTTGACGTTTGAATGACTGTATTCTATGTAATTATAGAATAAGACTAAGACAACATGAGTGTAGTTCTACTGTCCTGCTATATTTACATGAAATTTTTTAAAGCATGACAATACCTTGACTAAGCTATGTGCCCTCATCATCTAATTTAATGTATCTCACCCCCCACCCCCCACTTCACTTTGAATGCCGTTTCTTGCTTTCTTCATCTGCCTGTCATTTACCTACCTGCCTACCTACCTACCTACTTACCGGTAACTACTTACCGGTACCTACTTACCTACCTACCTGCCTACTTACCTACCTACCTGCCTACTTACCTACCTACCTGCCTACTTACCGGTACCTACTTACCTACCTACCTACCTACCTGCCTGCCTGCCTGCATGCCTTCCTTCCTCTCCCCTACCTACCCCCTACCTACCTACCTATCTTTCTACCTACCTACCTTCCCACCCACCCATCTAATCTATCATCCATCCTTCCATCCATCCATCAATCCATCCATCCATGTGCATGGTTATTTTACTTTTCTGTCTATCTGCTTATTAATCTGTATGTACGTTTATTTATATGTTTATGTCAACCTATTTGTCACTCTGGTGAAGAGAGGAAAACCAGAGTGAGAGATCTGATTATTTTGCATGTCGCCATGAACTCTGTAGTTCCTTCTATAGTGCTCATTGACTCATTGGTTTATAACGGATCTGTTTTACAGGAAATGTTTGGTGAGTTTATAGCAACCTATCCTGATCTGAGTGTTGTCTACGTCCGGGAGATTTGCTGCAAAAGCGGAAACAAGTGTTTTGTCATTCCACTTCAAGAGGGACACGGATAGTTAAATATGAACAGTTGTGTTGCGTTGTGAGCTCATTATGTCTGCGGTACAACTTTACAGCCACTGTCAGTATCACGCTATAACTATAACATGTGGTGAAGCTGTACATCAGAGATTCCATTCTTCCAGCTATTGCAGCAGCTGCACTATTTAAATCCAGCAGCAAAATTTTCGTTACTGAATGAATGTGAAGTTTATTTCAATTGCTATGCGGAAGTTATACCTTAACAATTTCAGTTAGTTTGTAAAGGACCTGATTGACAATTCCCTCTTTTCAAAGTGTCAGATTTGACACGCTTTAGTTTTCTACTCTTTTCTGTTTACAGTGCTTAAGAGTTCAGTGTTCAGTTTTTTAGTTTTCATTTCCATTGATCTGTTATTATAGCTCACATTGGCATGATCAACGACAGATTGCTTGCTGTGTTTTTGTTTAATTTTCTGTTGGAAGTTAAAATAGGCTTTTTATTTGAAGTACAACATGCATTTTGAGTTTGGCGAAATAACTTGAAACCATGTAAAAACAACCATCTTTGTAACTTTTTCTGTCCAGACATGCAAATTATATTTTATAAGGTTATAGGATGTTCAATGATACCTCAATCAAATTTTACTGACATCAGTAAAGTGTGTCCACAATCATGATGAGATACGACATTGTAAAATCTATAATCACATCCACATTATGCAGACTTGAAAGGAAAAGTCATTTGTGTTTATTTTATATACGAGTTTCTACACTTGGGTAGGGATAACTCAAACACCTTGGAGATTGACAGATGTGTTTAACACATCTGTAACTGAGGTGAACTGATACAGTCCGCACCGGCTATAAGCACGCCGGCCTTAAGCACGTTTCGGACTCAAGCACGCTAAACGGCTCTTACCGAATTTTTGCTATATAAATTACACGCCTATAAGCACGGTAACTTCGGCTTCAAGCACGCTTCATTTACAAGACAGTCAATATTTTCATGATGATCCATCGAAGTTCGAACACAGTTTACACCGCAGCAGTGGAGTGTGTCAAGAGAAACACAAAGAAAGCAAGTGATGGACACACACACTCACACGGGCGGAGAGGAAGGCAGAGAGATGCACACAGCCGTCCACGCGGACATGGATCTAGCCTAGGCCTAGGGCAAAGCTACACACGACCAAAAAAAAAAAATACAAAGAGAGTCGGGGAGACGAGAAAGAGAGGCTGGCTGAGATTTTACCTTTGACCCTCGCTATCCATTAATCCTGATTGTGCATCACGCGCGAGGTGGGATGAAGGCGGTGGTATGAGTGGCACAGCGGGCAGTGGTATGCACAGGCAGTGTGTTACAGTAGGCCTAGTGTCCTGTATCGTGACTGGCCGTCTAAATTAAGTTTTCATTTCCCATTCGACCACAAAACAAAAACAAACAAGCGAACAAAAACTACCATGGTGGGTGTCTAAATAACAGTGCACACTTTTGCGGGACCGCTATAGGCCTACTTACAAACAAAAGGAAATAGCACGGGGAATTTTCTACATGAAAATCTCTGGATTATGTCTACTTCGCACTTAAGCACGCTTCGGCTTTAAGCACGCTTAAGCTTTCTCCCGATGACTGTGCTTAAAGCCGGCATGGACTGTAGCAAAAAATTAAAGATATCAGTCAGGGAGTGGCAAATTTTACGAGCTATCAGTGATTTCGAGTTTTCTGTGTTTATGTTATCTGTGCCCATTATACTTACTTTTTCAAGAGACGTAAAGATGGGCACAGGGATCAAGGCTGTTGTTTATTTGAAAGACTGTTTTGTTTTATTCGCACTTGTTTCCCTGTACTTGCGTTGCACATGAATTCATTGTTTTTCAAGTCCATTTGAGGAACCCTTCTCATAGTGCCATCTTTCTTCATGTATTGGACTTCACTACGGTGTCAACCTTTGTAATAAACTTTTCTTTTTTTGTAAACGTTTGGAAAATTATATAATTGAAAGCACAGATGTGATACTGTTGCGTTTTTTTGAGTCAAGTTTTTTTAAATCCCTTTAGTTTTTCTTTATGCCTTCATCTGTCATTTTCAATTTGCGCCTTGCAGTGCTTGTGTTGTTTTTCATTTTGTCTTATCCTTAAGATAATTTTTTTCTTAACTGATCACAAAAGATGTAGGCTTAGAGCGATTTGAGTTTTTTTTTCTTTTTTGGTGTATGTGTGCGTGTTCATCCTGAGAACTTTGGAGTCTTCAGCCATAAGAGATATGGGTGGTTGGCGGGTGCTCTGGTGTGGTTTGCTCCTTCTTGCCTATCAAATATCTATTGTCCTTATCTCTTCCTCCTTTTTTTTGTTTGTTTGTTACTCTCTTGTAATACTATATAATGTTTGGCATTTATGTGACCTAATTGTGTTGCAAATGCAGTAAAACAGTTACTAAAACTATAAGAAATAGTTTTAACTCAACTGACGTTGATAAGTGTATGGGTACTGTCAGTATTCTCTTTGAATAGTCTGAATGGGTTCAAGCACACATTACTAGGTAATACGAACACTCAACCATATATTCTTCTCTTACTAATTTTTGTGTTCTTATTCATCAGCAAGATACATGTCAATATGGTCAGTACATGTACTTGTGGTATTTTGAAAAAAATAGATTTATGATCACATTTTCAATCACATGCAGTTGATATCAGATACAAGGTGGTTTATAGTAGTTCCATTTTGCCACCCCTCAATCTTACTTGCACGTTTCTTGTCATGTAAAGCATTTTCTTGTTTGTTACAGCGTAAATAAATAAACTCACCCATTTGTTTTTCAAAGGTTGTTTGTTTTACTTTTTTCAGCACTTTCTATTTAAGATGGCAGAGTAGGCGACTTACGCTTTTTGCACAATGTAATATTACCTTTACACAATACAGTGGAAATCGGATTCAACAAGAACTCGGATTCAACGAGAGGAGATAGATTCCCCGTTTTTTTCCTTCTTTAAAATCAATAAAAATAACCCGGATTCAACAAGCACTTAAATCAGCGAGCACGGATTAAACGAGGTCGCTTCCTCCAGGGTGAACAGCCCCCGCAGACGCGGCTTCGCTTATTTTTCTCCCACAACGAACTTTATCTATTCCCGGAAACCTTCCATTGCATCTGCATCGTGTACTATTATTCACTTAGCCGATTGCATGCGACCAATCTGGCCTTTTTTCATACCAACACATGCGCTATTGGCACGCGCACGTGTCTACTCTTGCATGTGCCAGGGTCAGATGGGCGACCTGCACGCGTGTGACTGTGTGTGCGTGTTTTGGGGGGGGGGGGGGGAGTGGGCACCAGCAGTCCGGGCATTGAACGTCGCAGATACAAACACGCCACAGTCTTTATTTTCCCCTCGGCGACTGATCATTATTACAATGATAAGCTAGTCTTGACGTAGATCTACGCAATGAATTGTGCCCCGGAAATGGAACCAAAAGTTGTCATATGCTAGGCTCTACACAGCAACACAACTTCGAGATGACACAGGCGTGCATTTATTTGAACGAATCTGTCTTTTTTTACACAACTTATAATATGCAGGCATTTCAGGCACTACTTGCTACTTCTCTTTACACATTATTACTAGCTCAGTGCCTGTAATTATTTACACAAAACCTCATGTTTGCTATGACGAACACTCAGATTCAACAAAATTTTAGGTCAGGCCCGGCGACCTCGTTGAATTCGGGTTCCACTGTATTATAACCGAGAGTGTAGAGGGGAAAACAGCTGGAACTTGTCGGTCAGACCTAGATGAACACAAATATTGTTCCAATGTTACAGTGGCTGGCAAAGTGTTGTTCTGAAGATGGTATGTCTATGTCTCTCTTTTAGTTTACACAAACACACTCACACACACACAAAAACACAGTGAGAGAGAGAGAGAGAGGGGGAATGGAGGGGGAGGAGAGACAGATTTCCACAGAGAGAGAGAGAGAGAGAGAGAGAGAGAGAGAGAGAGATTAAAAGAGAGAAACAGAAAGAGGGAGAGGGGGAGACAAATTTAGACATAAAAGAGAGAGACTACGTTCAATGAATCCACAAGCAGTAGAAGGACACTATCAGTAAATTCGACTTTTTTTTTCTTTCCGTTTGTTACTTCTGTCTGTCTTACTCTTTCGCAACACTACATGACTGTTACTGTCTCGATGTCAATTCAAGCACACAAACAACCTGTAACAAGCCCATTATTACTATTACAAGTGCTGGTGTTTACATTTCCTTGAAGAAAATACTTGAGAGCTTAACAATTATGACATTGAAAAAAACACGTTTAATATATATATATATATACATCAATATTGCATCATATACTCAACATACACTCAGAAGTTTGTGCAGAGTAAAACACAGGCCAACCCTCCCCCCAAAAAAAAACCACAAACACAAACAGAAAGAAAATAGACCGAAATTAAATTGAATGCCACAGATGAAAAACAAAATCAATCTACACTTTCTTTTTTTTTCTATACGAGTATATCTATAAATAAAAACACTTTTTTCCCTTCCGAATCAACATACACTACATATAAATATAAACTAAGTAAAAGAACAAAAGTATGTAAATCATTTTCCAAGTAAAGAACTTTCATAATATTAATAATAATAATGATGATGAGAACAACAATAACAATAAATTCATTTATATAGCGCATAGCCATGGTCTACAGCATGCTCTATGCACTTCACAACTATTAAAATCCTACGTAAAGAGTATAAAAATATCACAAACCTAAAATTGTTTGATAAAAGCTAAAAAAATCAAAAGTGCTGGTAACAAACTGTTAAAGAAAAGTGAATCGTATCAAAACAAAAGGCTGCACCCAAAGCCAAAAAATGTCCCCTTACAATATGTTTCACAACAGAAATCCTGAGCGCTCTGGGAAAGCCTGTCCACACAACTCACTGACCCTGATCTAAAAGTTAAGTAAAGCAGTAACAGAAAGGCCAAAAACATCCAATAAAAGACATTGTGACCTTCACCAGCAAGGACTCAGGCCTCTTATTTATTTATTTTCAAATCCTGATCTGAACGACTGAAATGGGACATACCCAAAACGATTTTCAATAAATATATCCAGAAGACAAACCCAACATGCTTCCCACCTCTCCTCCAGGATTACTAGTACTAGGAATACCTTGTAAAGCTATTTAGACCACCTGAGATTTGATTAGTATCTTAACAATGCGCTACCTCAGAACTATAAAGTTTTTCTGAGAATTTTGATAACTAAGATTTTGAGTTTCAATGCCAAGTTTCCTCGAATAACTCAAAATGGCCAAAAATGTCAGATGTTTGTCATTCTGAGGTAGCAAATGACTAGAAAAAAACACTATTCTTCCTGTGTAAGCAGATTCAGAAACTCTTGTATGGGGTCTGACAGGCCCCTTTCCTTCCAGCCAAAGAAAATATGTGAGGCATCGTGGTGAAATCAGCCGCTCGTCAAAATAAAGAAATTTTAAAAATCTGCATTTTTTTTAGCATATGTGGAATTTTTTTTCTAATTTTCTTTTTTTGGCTCAATACCTTTTATGTCCATTTAAAAACACATTTTTTGTATGGATTTTACAGAAAAACATTGATTAAAGGCACAAAAAATATTAATTTATTTCCAAGGACTCTCGGGCTATGGAAGTTACCAAACTTTGGCGGCCATTTTCTCACTCCTTTTTACCTCTGAAACCAGGCGACCCTGACCTCCTTCAATCTCAAATATTTCGACTTCAATTCAACATGGATGGATATTTTATTCATTAATAGGAAGGCAAATGAACAGGCCTTAAAATGATACTAATAACCCCACACGCCCAAAAATTGACGAGCGCCTGATTCCACCACGTCGTGACACATAGATATATGTCAAATGGCCAGGGTGAAAAAAAACCCTAATGAAACTTTCAAGGCTCAAAAGCTTAAAATATATCTTTGAAACTAAATAATCTGCACACGGAATGCTAAATTATGAGTATGTCTATACTTATGTACTGCAAACATCAAGAAAACCCCTGTATATATAATATAAATTATGAAAAAAAATCAGTTTAAAACATTAAAAAATTTAGCCAATCACAGTATTGTGTTATAAGAATTTTAAGCATGAATGTAGCTTGTAAAGTTGGAACCACAACAAAAGAAAATTCATGTGCTGAAGCAAATAGCTGACGTATATTACTGCTGTTCTCCAACAAAGCAGCTCTGGGACCTTTGCCCTCCAGAGAAACCAAATGAATAACGAATTGAAATATCTTATGTTCTCAAGTAAAGAGAAGCACATCAATCTAACCATAGTCATAAAGGGAAAGGGAAACAAATACAAAACTTAACGGAATAATAAAAGATAAAAAAGAGGACTGAACTATATGGGGGGCACTTAACCACTTCTACAAAACAGCATTGAAGAATCCAAAAAAAATTAACTCAGTTTCAGACATTGTGTAATGAGGTACCAATTTCAGTAATCCAGACTCAAGCAAAAGTTATGTACAAAACAACATTTTTCTGTAACTACCACACACTGTTTGCCATTTCGTGAAGTCAAAAACTCACACATTAGTGCCACACATTACTATTACAGATAGAGTGAACTGACTTATCTTCCCAGTGTTCAATGCCAAAGGACATATAACTCACAGAATGAACAACACAAGACAGAAAAACATTTCTACTAACCCATCCAGCTATTAGCTGACTCTACCACCTCATAGTTTAACAATAACATCAAGGCAAGCCTTAGAAAAATATTAAGAATGATTAGTTACAGACTAGAATAGATCAAGTAAGAATATTACTTAGGAAAAGATAGAAAAGTTTAACAAAAAATGAGCAGTTTCAAATATAGTTCCTGTCCACTAGACATTAGACAAATATGAGCACAGCATTTTAATTGAAGAGACTGCAGTAAAAAACATGAAAGATTATTTACTGGCGATTTACTTCAATTGTATGGCAAACATTTTGTAAATATATATGCAAAAAGAAAGTTAACTGTTGCTACAAATAAGAACACATTAGATTTAGAGAATTATCATATGTGAGGCATCATGGTAAAACCAGACCCTAGTCAAAATAATTAAAGAAAGCATTTTACGGCCATTGAGCAGAATGTAAATTTTTTTGGCTCAACATCTTTTATGTTCATTAAAAAATACATTTCTGTATGGAATTTATTGAAAAACATTCAAAGGCACAAAAAATTTTAATTTGTAGTTTCCAGAACACTCAAGCTTTGGAAGTAGCCAAACCATTTTCTAAGTAATTTTACCTCTGACACCAGGTGACCCCCGCCTCCTTCAATAACAAACATCTCGACTTCTATTCAAGATAGTTGGGGGGGGGGGGGATTTCCATAAAAAGCAAGACAAATGAACACGCTTTAATCTAACCAAATATAAATAACTGTATACGCCCGAAAATTGACGAACGCCTGATTCCATCTCATTGTGACACATACCCTCCCAAAAAGAATCAAAATAAGGGAGAGAAAAAAGTCACACCATTACAAAATGTTTTAAAAACAGAAATTCATGTAATTCAAAAATTGCTTTCGTATTATTATATAAAAATGTGATAGACCAGAACAGTGCAGGTCAATAAAAAACCCCCAAGCAAACGAAAGAGAGGAGGATACAATAAACTGCATGGACATAGATGAATATCACATATTTCAAAACATTCTAATCACTAAAACTAACTTCTTTTACATCAAATCATACACATGCTAGAAGCACATGTGGTAAGTAAAAACTACGGAAAAAAGCAGGCCACACAGGTTGCAACAAACCTAAAGGAATTAAAATCAAGCAACTGTATACCATTAAAATGACTATTAACCATATAGATTTTTTTTCAAAACTGCCCTATCGACTATGTAGCCTAATACTTAATCAATATTGTAAAAATATACTATACTATGTACTTGCAATAGGTATAAGGTTTCAATTTCTCATTCATACTCTGAGGCCTACCATATTTTAACCCTTTCGTTACCAAGGGGTATGTGTTCCTACTGTCAGCACTAATTTTCAGATAAGCTCATTACCCAAGGCAGCAGTCTCATGTCTCAGTGCTAATGGACTCGTGGTCTAGATCTAGCCCACTCGTGACTTAATTTTGGACCCTGGGTCTTTGATAATGTCACTTTTCTCACTTCTCTCATTGCCTATTCTCCCAATCTTGCTCATTATGTAGAATAACTTGAAAATCCAAGTAAAAAAAGTGAAATTTTCTGCTTTTTTAAAGTCATTTTGGTGTTTACAGTTTGCGAGAGCACACGTCCGTCTGCAAGACTAGATCAGGGTCTATTAATACCTTGCAAGCCTAGCAGTAGAGTAATGCTAGCAAATTTGGTACCGATATACGAGTTTTTTAATTCCCGATTACGAATCCATGCAGTGTTTGTAATTAAAACTCCATACAGAAGAATAAGAGCCAAGTGATTAGCCGGACGTACACATGATGTCATATGGGCAACCAGGATGGAAAATTTTACAAATTTCCTTGAACTTGATGACCATGGTACTGCACAAAGCTAAAAATTGCTCATTTTCATGACATACCAAGTACAACATATTATATAAACAAAGGGGTTAAAAAGTAAAAGTTGTTAAACCTTTCACACAAATGAAACAAGTATTCTGAAAAAAAAAAAAAGCTGCCAACTTCATCAATTCAAAAATGGAAAAGATAAGGGAAGTGTGAAAAAGACCCATACTGACGTAGCATAGTTCTGACAGTTTAAGATTAAGAGCACTAGGGACAGGGGGGACGTAGCATAGTACTGACAGTTTAAGATTAAGAGCACTAGGGACAGGGGGGAATTTCCTCTTTCTGTGACGTGACTCATATGTGTCATGATGTGGTGGAATCGGGCGCTTCTCAGTATTTGGGCATGTGGAGTTATTGTTATCATTTGATAGCTTAATCATATGCCTTGCTTTCTATGAAAAAATACCCATCACTATCTTGAACATGAGTCGAGACATCTGCAATTGAAGGAGATGGGGGTAGCTTGGTTTCAGTGGTGTAGCAATTTAATTTGCGAGAAAATGGCAGCCAGTGTTTGGTAACTTCTATAGCTTGAGAGTCCTTGAAAACTGAAGAGTTACATATTTTGGGCCGTTAATGAATGTTTTTCAGTAAAATTCACACGGAAATGTGTTTTTATTTGGACATAAAGGAGGTTAAGCTAAAAAAATAAAAATTCGATAAAAATTTCCAAACTGGCGGAAAAATGCCTATTTCTCTGCTTTCGTTATTTTGACGAGCACCTGATTTCACCATGATGCCTCACATACACTTCAGGAAAGTGAAAAGACAATGAAAACCTTAAATGATTATATCATGGCCTTACCTTCAAATCAACATTACACATTTGCACAAACAAGCTCCTCTGTCCAAGAGATTAAAACGCTTAGGCTTATACAGTCAACAAAACGATTACTTAGTACACTTTCTCGTTCCAACCATGAGAGACAAGAAGAAGGTGAGCATACAGTGAGGCCATGGGGGAGTGGAGTAAATATTGGTGAACATTCAAAGCTCAAGGGGGGTGGGGGAGAGAGGGGGAATGCCACCTTCAGGAAATCAAGAGAGACAGGCTACAGTTATTCAGGCATATTCATGACACTTTTTCAAGAAGCAGAGGAGTGAGCAACTATGAATGTATCCAGAACGACTCAAATCCTTGAAAAAGTCATTTAATCAATGAGTAGAGGATACAACTACAATTTGTCAAACAATCAGACAGTGTCATTCAAACCCTAGAAAAAGAAAGTGGTCAACTCAACCAATATATCAGGTCTCATAATAATCAATGCCTACTACATGAGCAAACAGAAGAACAGTACAAAAATAAATCCTTGTCTGAAAAAATATTTTTTAAAAAGGACTTGCCTTTCCTTGTTAATGTTAGGAAATCTTGTACAACCTGCAGCTGTCTCCCTGACCAGAAATGTTTTCCCTACCTCTTGACATGATACAGGTCAACTGACACAAATTCTGACCATAACATAGTGAGCCAAGCAATAAAGCCGAGAGGAGAAATTTTGCTCCATATATAAGAATATAATATAATATCATTAAACAGTAGGTGACTTACATTACAGTCAAAGTGCTTTATATGACATGTCTTTCAAAGTAGAAATAACAATAACAGTTCTTGGGTAGTAACATTTCACAAAGTATAAAATTAAAACGAAAACCATGAAATATCTTTCAAAGTAGAAATAAACCATAACAATTCTTGGGAGGTTACATTTAAAAAAAGGGTAAAATGAAATACTGGGAGAAAATCGAAATATACACATGTAGCACAGCCATAAAAAGAAAGAGACCTCATAGACAAGAGACTCTCTTCGAACCAACAACACGATAGAACATTTTAAAAAGCAGTGAAAAGCACGGCTGAGAATAAGTATGTGTATTGAGTAAATAATATCCAGCCATTCATGAAATGCAATCTCAACTATCAACTTTTCCTTCTTCCTTCTTCACATTCTCTTACAAGACTCAGAGGTAGTCAAACTGTGGGTTCTTCACTCCACAGTGGGAGTGATTTTGATACAATACATGATATCCTAATAATGGGCACCTGGAATGGAGTACGGTATCTCCCCTTTTCAAGCAGTCATACAACATTTTCAAAGGTACCATTCAAAACTAGTTGAGAGTCTTTTCGCTAATGGAAAGGAATTCATTAAGAAATTTGAAAGCAAGTAGGGATATTTAACCATAACAAAAACTTTACTTCATTCAAGCTTTGTATTATGTTTTAGTAAGAGTTATACTGCACTTGCAACACAATTAGGTATCAATTCCGAAGATTAGAGGTGTTACAAGGGAGTACCGGAAACAAACACAAAACAGGGGAGGAAAGATGAGGGCGATAGATGTTTGATAGGAGAGGAGGAAACCGCACTAGAGCACCCATCAACCACCTACCTATTATTCGAGGAAGCAGAATAGTGCTCTTCATTAATCACAAAACATATCCAAATTCAAGTATATGAGCACATGTGTGTACATGTACATGTTTGAATATAAATGTGCTTGTGTTAATGTATCTGTTGTGATAGTGAGCACATGACAAAATGTAAATATTTTACTGTGTGAAAGGAATTGATATGAGTATAGTTTTCAGTCAAGTACTTACTCCAAAAAACAAAAATACAACCATTTGTACTGAAATACTTTGGGATATCAAATGTGACATAGACATAGAATATACACCTAAAAATTGTGTTAACAAAAATGACTCATAAAAACCCCCCAACAAAATCAACAAACAGCTGCATGAAAATCTTCATAAGCCACTCCTCCATTCCTTCTCTTATTGCAAAAGTGTACAGTTCAATGACAGTGAGAAATAAGCAAGAAGCACAAACTGCAACTAGACACAAAAAGCAAAATAAAAAACCCCAAAAGACATAAAAATCGACTTAAAATACTGACTTCAATGAACTGGAACATTGTACTTCACAACTATTCCTTCTCCAGGTCTATTCATTTTGCCACTTTGAGTAAATTTGTTTGTTTTACCATGACCAAGAACGTAACCCCAAAAAATCTCTATACAAAAAGTTACAACTTTTGTTTCAGTAGACCCAAAATTAGAGGAAAAGATGGCAGAGGGTCTTCGGCAAAAACAGTTTGCCTTTCACAAACTATCAGTATGAAAACAATGCTGTTTAGACCACCAACAATCACAAATCCTGCTCACAAGCACTGGTGACTACAACCAACAGATCATCTCCTCGAAAAAAATGCTGGCAACAAAACTAAAAACATTTTCAGTTAAGTATCTTATTATTAGATGATACTAATCAGACCAATCTGTAACAAAAAATTGATCCTTTGAAACTTGAACGTCAGACACTACAGGACCCATGCATCTGAGCTCCTGACAGAAAACTCATAAATTAATAGAACTTCACACTGAAGCCAGTGCAGAAAGAAAATAGATGACGTGCTAAGAAATACCTTCAGGCTTGTAAGGTACAAAAATAGTTTTTTCTGAGAGTACAGTAAAGATAAAGGAGAGGGCTGTTACAAACTTTTGTAACCAAATAGTTCATCAGACTAGAGGTGCTCAAAAGATGCCCATTGTACAATACACTTTAAAGAGTAGTTTCTTATATTGTACCAACTTAAAAATAAAAGTAAAGTCTATAGACACTACATTTTTTTGCAAATAAGAACAATTAACTAGATAAGCTTAAATACGCCCACTTCTTTCGAAGACTTAAAACATTTTCCCGGGAATAATCACAATAAAAGTCAAGTCCAAACATCTAACATTATTTTACTCTTAGGGAAATGTAACAGCAAGACAAAATAGGAAATTTCAAATGCTGTAAGCAGTAACCACAAATCAAATGAAGTACAAAGGCAGGCTACTAAGCTAAAGACTGGGCCATTATTGTTGGAAAGGTGGGCTTCTTTGGCAATTTTTGAAGACAACATCTCAGAAATGCTTTAAGCGTAGCTTGAGGGCGGGTAGGGAGGACCTGAGAATAAAAAAACAAAAACAAATGACAGGGTGTCCAGCAATATTTCCTTTAAAAATGTACTACCTGGAACAAAAATTTACTATCCAGCAAATCAAGCCCCACACCACCTTGAAAAAGGGAGTTCATTTGCGCCATCAATAACATATTATTATTACATAATATATGAAACGAAACCAACAAACAACAAAGTCCAGTCGACAAAATGAAGAATAGACAGACGCTCGCAAGCTTGCTCGCCGCTAGATTTAGTTTTAGTAAAGTTTTTACGGCGCTCTCAACTGCATAGGTCATATGTATGAGCGACAAGGGGTGGATGTCAACAGAGAAGTCCAAACGGGGAATCAAGCTTCCACTACCAAGGCACCCCAGAAATAGTAGTTCACAAGAGTGACAAAGATGCAAAAGAAGAAGAGGAAAATGACGATTGTAAAGAAGAGGACAAAAAAAAAGCAGCAGTTTCCCCTATGTCGGTCCAGCACAGTATGGGCACGACATTGATAAATCAGCCCATATTTTTACAATTCTACTGTGCATAAGAACATGTTAATATCCTCTCTTTGGGAATGGCCTAAAGACGCTTCTGTCAGTAGCAGTGCCCTGGTGGTGGTGGGAGGGGTACATTTAGACCTAATATGTACACACAGGGTGACAGCCAAACCGGCTTCTAAATTTTCCAGCGAGTCATCCATTTTCCAGGGCCATGTTACATAGATCTAACAACAACACACACACACACACACACATGTAAAATATGTCCAGTAAACAACATGTCAGTGTTGCACTGGCGTCTTGACTTTAGTATTTCAGTCTGTTATAATATTTCCTCTCATTATTATATATTTTTAAAAATGAATCCTGTTTTCAGTGTTCGGAGGGGCCTTGAACAAAAATTTCTACTGTCAAAAACCAGTCTGGGAGTCATATTACGAAGATGAAAGACAAAAATTATTGCTCAAACTAAAAGTAGAGCAATAACTTGAATGGCTCAAGTAGACCTATTCAGTGTGAGAGGTGTAAGAACTGTGGGAGGGCAAGAGGCAGTGACACTAAAAATCTGCCAGTCTTGAACAGAAAGCTACAATATTGTTCTAATTTACTATCACCTAACCAATGAAACACGAACACTTTATTTCAATAACACGGCTTACAAGGTAGGGATCTTACAAGGTATGAAGGCGCGCATTGCAGAAGGCTCTAAACTAATCGAAATTCTGAAATTTGCTTCCAAGTCTTTGTCGTCTGGTGTTGCCTTCAGCCCCTCCCCCCTCCCAGTGTATCTCAACAAAAAAAATCAATAATCCCTGCCCCATTCCGTAGTCCTATACTTTGCAACGATCAGATGTTTTTAATGAACTTTGGCGACCCCAACAAACGCCTGTGCTCACCGATGCCATATCTTGTGGTGCCTCGCGCGAAGGTTCACTGACCGGTCACGATGGCGAACCCGACAATCTAAAAATCAGACGACGCTTGTATTTTCTTTTCACCCCACACACACACACACGCACAAGTGACAGCACGGTGACGAGTCCGAGTAATGATTAAATTTTATTTGCACGGTGACACAGCGTTTTTATACTGTACAGCCTGCATATCACAAATGTTGCATTATCAGTCCATCGCCGGCAAATTTCTGGGTGGTAACAAAAGCGAAAGTAGATCTTGATTTTCCCGATTGAGCCTCGGTGTCACATGACTTCCGCCTGCCAATATAGCCGCCTTTTCGCGTGAAACGTACTCTGGGACAGGGAAAAGGTGAATGAATATTATCACAATCGCGACCGGCAAAAACGGAGTCATGTACTGAGGCCAGGGTTCACTGAAAAGTCTTGCTGACTTCATCACTCAGTATGCAGGCTAATTTACGACCGTTTACCAAATGTTTACTACCTTCAAGGCAAATTTACTACCATTTACGACCTTTACGACCTTGCTGGACACCCTGAAATGAAGTTGGAATACAAATGTCCAGCCCCCACCCGATCCCAACCCCTCGCAAATCAACAAACCATTTTTGTTTTTTGTTTTTGTAAGCCTTTCACAGAATTTGCAACACAATTAGGTCATTTAAGAAGATAAAGTGTTATGAAAGAGTCACAAACACCAAAAAGAAGGACAATAGATGTTTGACAGTAGGTACCAGAAACTAAATTTTCAAAATATCTGTATGCCAAATCTATCTGTTCCATATGAAAGGTCTATGTCTCCAGAGAATTTTGGTACCATTCTTTTACCTCTCAGTCAATTTTTAAGAGAATCGCAGCTGTTTTAAATTTGATAAAATATTGTTAAGTCGCGAATTGGCTGCAACCCCAAGTTTGACAGACAATAAAAGAGAACCAAGTGCACTATTCATCTCCACATTAACAGAGTACAATCACTATAACTCAGTATAACAGATATGGAGCCTAATTTTTTTCAAGCCTGTGAGATCATTACAAATCAATATTTTATCACCTAAAACATGATGGTCTGTCGTTGTTTCAACAAAAACACCAAGCATTGACCCGGCCGGCACTGCACCAGCCCCCGCGGCGAGCGAGTCAGCTCTATGCTGTAGTGTACCGAGAGCTCCCGGTGTGGGGGGTTACATGCTTTCCGAGTTTCACAGAAGGATTGATGCAAAATAATTCCAAGCTAATTACTTTATTCTAATAGAAAATAAACTAATCTTTCCATCAGTACCTTTTTTGAGCCAGTATTTTACATATTTCGTGTTAAAAGTGATCTTTGAAAAAGATTTCACTAAAACCACGCGCTCGGAAGGCCGCGAGTCCGTGTTTACGCTACCTATTGATAAGAAAGAATGAGCAAAGCACACCTGAGCACCCACCAACCATCCACAGCCAGCAAGTTATTTATAAGTCCATGATATAACAGACAACAAACCACATTGAAAAACTGAGTCCTACACTTTCATTGGGATTAATAGGGCCATTTCTGAGACAGGACTTTTCAATGAACTACATGGTGAGGTGTTAAAAGTTTTGAAAAATAGTACTAGTGGCACCAACACCGAGAATAATTTCAGAAACATACATGTACACAGCCAGTTACACTAATATTAAACATCGACATCATTCAAATACAAGTTTTTAAAAGTTGGGAACATATGAGATATTTAAAACAGAAGAAATTCTAAGAGAAAACAATATATACGTTCATTAGTGGCGTCAGTGGCCTAGTGGTTAGGCTCTCGGACTCGCAACCGTAAGGTCGTGGGTTCGAATCCTGTCAGGGACCTGACGTTGTGTCCTTGGGAAAGGCACTTTACACGAATTTTCCTCACTTCACCCAGGTGGGAATGGGTACCCAGCTATAGACAGTGAAAGATCTTGTGAGTTTGTTAGTGTTTGAGCGCGTGAAATCCGCAGCTTGCACTGCATGCTTCCCGGGAAGCTGAGAATGTTTCTGCGTGTTCTATGGTCTGCTGGGGTAATAATATAGTGTAAAGCGCATAGAGCTTGCTTTCGAGCGCGGTTATGCGCTATACAAATGCTATCTATTATTATTATTATTATTATTATTAGACCAAGAAAGCCATAAATGTGGAAAGTCTGTATATACTAACATGATGCTTGCATCGGAGCCCCTGGCGGTCCCGGTGGGTAGGGGGCGCTGGGGTTAGTCTCCGGTGGAGGGTACATGCCAGGTCCTGATGGGTACGGCGGCTGACCCCCAGGGTACATGGGGGCTCCGGCAGGGGGAGGGTACGGGGCGGACGCATCCACGCCTGGGCCAGGGGGCATGCCGCCTTTCTCTAGCCCTACAGAGAGAATTAGAGTTTGAGTTAAGAGAAGTACATCGACACAGTTTGAGTTATGGCCATTTTTAGGGATGGGAAAGAGTAAAAAAGGCAGACAGAAACAACTGAAGGAAGGCAAAGAAAGAGGTACCTATTGGCTATGAAAAAAAGAATTGCACATTTTTTTGGAACCCATGGAAAGGCACACGCAGTGACTCAAAATTTTGAGATCATACTGTTTAGTTATTGACAATGGCAATACCTAGACACTTCCAGAAATCTCGATAGATTCAGAAAATCGGTACCTCCATTGAACGCCTTCACACTTGAAGGCCAAGAATTACAAAAAACAAAACAATAAGACTTGACAATGCAGCCTAATTAGAAGAAGATTACAAAAAAAACTGTACCAGTATTTGCCATCCTGGGTGGTATTGCCCTTTAGTAGATGATTTGGTAATTTTAGTGGGTGGTGGGGATCACAAATGTAATTGATGTTATTTCATGCCCAGCTTGGACATGCATATATGGGTGGGCGATATATATGAAATCTTAGCCTCTAAACCCTTTGAACCCTGACCCCTGAGGCTACCGTGCCCCTCTGCCTGAGCTCCTAAGCGATATATTACTATCATTCATATAATCGTCAGAATCACTTTCCATATCCCAGTCAGGGTACTCCTCGTCATTACGAGCACTTAATTCAGAAAGATCTTTTAAAAAATCAATAATGTCTTGTGTTGTGAACGCTGTTTTCCGTATCCGTTTTGTCTTAGGTGTGCCATTTTGGGGATGGGGTCTCGCTCACAGGTGTACCAGTGGCTAGGCATATGGGCAGTTTTAAGCGCCAACCGCGTACAGGTGGCAAGGGCTCACACAGGGTTAAAAGTGACAAAAGTTGAGGCTTACTATAAAAAGGTTAGCAGGCACTGATCTCTGTGGTTACTGGACTTACCACCACCATAGCTTCCGTCGGGTCCACCAAATGCGGGAGGAGGTTGAGGCATAGGCTGTGGTGGCATAGGCTGTGGTGGCATAGGCTGTGGTGGCATGGGCTGAGCGGGTGGAGGCATCCCATACGGCATAGCGGCACTGCCGTCATAACCTGCCGGTGGCCCGCTGTAAGGGGGAGGCGCCATCTGAGGCGGAGGGGCTGCACCAGGACCTGGAATGACCAAGGGAGTTTAAAGTTTTAGCAAGAGTTTTACGGCACTTGCAACACAATTAGGTCAATTAAGCGCCGAAGATTTGAGGCATTACAAGATAGTATCATTAATATAAAAGAAAGAGGAGAGATAAGGACGCTAGAGATGTGTGATAGGAAAGAAGAAGCAAACAACCCCAGAGCACACGCCAAACACCCACACCGAGAGAGTGTGAAGGTGTGAAAGAATGAAAATAAATGTGAGGGGTTGTGGTTTACTTATCACCTCGTAAAACAGATCACAGTGAGAAAATCATTTGTCAGTCGTCCTTTCAAGAAACCTTCATGCAACATAAGGAGACTGAAAAAAATATACAAAGTTTAAAAAACGACATCCAGGTAGACTGACAGCCATTTGGACATAAAATCTTAAGAATCACTTGGTCTTCTAAAGCTATTATCATAATTATCACTCTTGAATGATGGAAAATATAGAGAAGAAAAGGAAACAAGAAAGAGGCAAACTGAAAAAAAAAACCCCAGAAAAGGCAAATTAAACCTGAGCTTAAAAAGAAAAAGAAAAACATGGCCAAGTATATCAGAGCAATAGGCATAAAAGACCAACAAATTTTTCCCTTTCCCAGCAGGAGAGAAATGATAAAAGGGGGGGGGAGAGGAGGGGGAGGGAGAGTCAGACAAACAGAGAGTAAGAGAGAGAGAGAGAGACAGAGAGAGATAGAGACAAAGAGAGAGACAAAGAGAGAGACAAAGAGAGGGACAGAAGGAGAGAGAGGAGGAGTGGAGAGAGGCATAGATTTTTTAGGGAGGGAGGAAGGGAGGGAGAGAGGGAGAGTGGGAGGAAAAAAGACAGAAAGAGAGAAATAGAGAGGGATAGGTCAAGATACAATGTGAGTGCACAATAAAGCTTTTGAAAAAGAAGATTTTGCACCAAGGAAATTTTTTAAAAAACCATGTTAATTTCATCATTAGTATCGTGTTAGTGTTACTTAATGACATAAAGCTTTTTCCATAAAGTAAAACCTTGTTAGTAAATACTTCTAACCTAGCCCATACTCTGCTACTACAAAGACCATTTTTCTTAGTCCCAAGTTTAGGGGTAGCTTCCCTTGAGCCCCACAGCTACAAAGCACTACAATAACTCTTTGAGTCTCAAATAAGTACACCTTGTCAAGTCTTACTGTAGGCCTACCATCATAGAATTAAGAAAACTCTGTAGTTTAAGCATTCACTCCAGGTTTATATTAAATAGATCTATAAGTATAGGCCTATTGTGTAAGGTCAATAAAATAGAGTTGAGTTTAAGTCAAATAGCAATGTTATTCAAAACGAATCAAGGCTTTCATATGAATGATGAAAAGATTACATAAATAAATTGAAAGCGCATTGACCAGAGATATATTTATACAGATATTTATACATATCATAAATAGTCAAAAGCATCAAATCATTATAATCACTACAGATTGGTCTTTCTTTATTTGAACCCAGCAGGACTCCAGTCTCAATAACACACAGTCAAACTTATTCAAGATCCATTGATGAGGAGAAAAGCAGTCATTGTAAACGGGTGGTCCTCTTAGACAGTATCAATATAATATAGAAAAACCCCAAAAGGGAAAATGGGAAGTGGTCACTTGTGAAGCGTGCTGACAAAATGAGTTACTTTTCAGATTCAAACTCTTAGGCCCTCAATGCACTACGACAGTTCATCCTGGGACAGATCTGTCTGGAGTTTGAAACCTTTGAATTGGAGTGTAATGTACTGCACCTAATGGGACAGGACATTTTTGCCGCATTGGATCCCAAACAGTTGTAAAGGAATAGGTACATCACGCTTATAGGTGAAGTTCTTACAATTTAGAATTATAAAATAATAAAAGACAGGTTATAGTTAAAGAATATGGCATCAAAAGAAAATGTAAAAATTTGACCCAAATGTCAATTGTCAATTTTTGGCCAATATCTCCATTGGTGGATTGCGAGAAGTAACTCATTTTGTCAGCATGCCTCGCATTTGCTCAGGCAATTGTTTTGGACAGTGTGATCGTTAGAACAGGTTCGACTGTAGAAGGTAAGTCTAGGGACAGTTTCCCATGAGCCCCACAGCTACAAAGTCCACGCAACTCCTGAGGCCATAAGTATTTCTAGGATGGTATATTGTCATGATACATCAAGAAAGGGAAAGAATATGAAATAGTGGCTCGCTTGCTCCAACATACAGGAGAGGCACTGAAAAGATATACAGTCTCTACCACGCCCATAGCGAGATCGACAGAACGCGGAAATATTCAAGTTGTATATATATATATATATATATATATATATATATATATATATATATATATATATATATATATATATATATATATATATATATATGAATTTCGCTTTGTACACATGTTTTAATAAAAAGAATATATATGTATGAGAAAGAATGCAGGACCTGGAAATCTATTCGCTATGTGCGTGTTCACTATGGGCACGCAAGACTTTACCAACTACCATTTTCCCACCTTCCACATATCACAAGTCCATATATATTTATTGAAATGCCAAAAGGTTTAAATAAAAGTATATGTATGACTGTCCACGAAGTTTTATGCACCCCGCATACTTTAGCAAAATTTGATCAATTTCAGCATAATTTCTGATTATTTTCCTTTATCATTCTTTGTTAAAATTAACAGAATCGCATAATGTTACATTTTTGGGCTGTTTGCATAATTTCAGATTTTTTTTTTTAGCATAAAACCACGGGACAGGTATGAGCATATCCACTTTAAACACAACCAAATATGATTATTTGAAGCTACATTTTAAGAATTGGTCAAAATGCAAAGCATAGCTTAAACCAAGCTGAAACCTGTAGGCACTACAACTATAGCCACAGACTCGCACAATGAAAAAAATTCCACAAAGAGACACGGGAGCTTGGCTTATCTCAGTGTAAAGGGGCGAATTATCAGCATGCTAATTTGTACGAAACCATCCAGACTACCACATGTTTATTCGCTAAAAACTATGCGGCTTTGGAATATGTGTAAGTAAACAAACAACTGTACTCATGGACTGCTGAACACTTTTAGTACCGTTGGCGACTTTAGTTGCCGACTCAATCCGGCACACTAAACATAATTTAACAATGAACAGAGCCACTGCACTGAAGTAAATACCAAAGAAAGTCACTCTATACCATAGCTGAATGGTTGATGAATCTCAGTGAATTTTTAAAGCATGTTTCTTGGGCTGCGAAGGGTTTTTTTTGTTTTTTGTTTTTAAATCTACCACGGCTTCAGTTTTCTAAACTGGTGCGGTACTTGAGGGATTTTCACTTCAAGAGACTTCGCCAATTTCAGTGTTAAAAGCAAGACTTTAATACAATTGGTTTGAAATTTTAATCCTCCCAGAAGATGTTTGAATATTTCAATCTGGATCTCTATTACTCCAACAGTTCTTTTAAGCTGTGTGTTAGCACAGAACAGCTAGTTTTGAAGCACTAATAATGACATTAAAACAATATACGGACACAATAGAAGCAGAAAAGACATGTGTGATTATTTAAGTAATAAAGGAAGTACAAAATAAGCAACTAAAGCAGAATTCTTTGTAAACTTTATCATCTCAATACATGAAACAAAGCCCATATGAAGAACACTGATAAACAAACGCATTGGTCTAAATCCTCATCTGAATTTTTAGGGTATTGCACCTTGCTTTATAACTTCTTTTTACTTTAGACTTGATGAAATGAAGTATATGTTACTGTCAACTTCATATAATTCATTTTACGCACAATTATTTTGAAAGCACTGAGGTTATATCGGTAAAAAAATTCAGCCAGACCAGTCGAACTAAGAGTAGGCCTTAATAAATACTGATGGAAAGACACCATATGAAGTCAAAATACAAGAAAACATTGGGTCACTTAGTCAATTCACACATAAGGAAAGTCTATAGCTTCTAGACAGTCTCTTCTATAGCGCCAGTCTATGAGAACAGAAGTTCTAAAGAATTCAATGTCTGCTTGATATTATGTTACTAAAGAAGAAAAAGTCAGTTTTAAAAAGTTCACTCACTGTTAATAATGTTATAAAAACTAAATATAAACCAAACCCATATTTCATTGGTACAGACTAGTCAAATCGTCAGGCTAAAGTTGCTCTACAATTTTGAGTATAAAATAGAGCAATTAAATATAAGAATAGAGGCGAAGAGTTAGAGGAACAAATCAATTAAGCGCAAACAGGAAACAAAAAAACTGTACACTACCATTCCCAGCATGCGGGTCACTAAAGGGTATAGCCTCGGGAGGATTATTACTCCTATCTGTGAAATAAAAACCCATCACATTACCGTCTGTGGATGCAACAGAAGCTAACATTGACCACAGTTGAACTTCAGCACAAAAACCATCAAACATAAAAACCAGCAAGAGAAAAGGACATTAGCACAAGCGGCAATGGTCATACAGGAGCACAAAAGAATCTTTTACATGAACAAATAACTATAGAAGAAGGCAAGAAAAGAGTTGAGGATAGACCTAGTCTCGTGACCATGGTTTGGTATTCACAATCCACAAAAAGACATCTTCTCTCAGCTCGTCGTTCACAACCTCTGTGTTCTTTATTTTTCTACTTTGTTTCCTCAAATACAAAAGAAACAAATATTAATTGATCAATGTGGCAGACATGTCATGAAATATGTTTTATTTCCTTCTTACTCTGATGTTTGGAAAAGAACAACATGCACTGAGGACAGCTCACTTGCGCAACTCAAAATACAGTTTTTGAAATTAAACTATTCTTTCATATTGCAGGTGAAAACAAGACTTTTGAAGATGATTTGGGCAAGCTGAGAAGGGGATCATCTATCACAAACTACCCTCTATGAGGGATACAGGGGGAAGGAAGTGACAAAATGCAGTAGGACAAAGAAAAGATATCTCTATCATGTCAGCTTGGAAAAACAGAAGACTGAAGTAAATTAACTGTACCTACTAAAAATGCAACAAAAGCTTTTTTAAACTCATTTTTTAAAGTCTACTAAGAGTTTTACGGCACTTGCAACACAATCAGGTCATACCAAACATGAGAGGTGTTTCTAGACAGTAACTTACGAAGAAGAGAAGGAGGAGAGATAAGGACGATAGATGTTTGATAAGAAAAAAGGAGAGAAAGACCACACAAGAGCGCCTGCCAACCATCCACAAAGATGGCAGAGAACACAGTGAGAACAGATTTTCATAAGCAGCCAAGTAAAAAACATCTATCAGGATCCTTTTCGCGACAGAAAAGCGGTCTGATGACCATAAACATAATATTTGTGTCTGCAGTCACATCAGTCTGGCTCTATGCTTGTAAATGTGAGCATTGTTAACAATAACTGTTCATTCACACCACATGTGTCTGAACGCAGTGCAATCAGGCACTCATCATTAAGATTTACCTCATCTATTTCAGAGCCAATGTTCACATTGTTCCCGGGGTAAAATAAGTGAATCAGGTGGCTAGGCATAAGTGTGCAAATAAGTGCACGAACCCACATCGACCAGACGCATCAAAAAGCTAAGATTACAAATTCAAAGCCATCCAAGCTAGCAAAAATTTGCTTAAAATGTCCTTCCCCCCAATCCTATGCGCCAACTGGTGAAATAATAATAGCACACTAAAACGTCCTCATCACACACATAAAAACATTTACCAAGCAGAAGTAGAAAAGTGATGAGCAAAAATATCCATTTCAGATATTTCACATTCTTATTTTTTGTTGTTCAGCTGATTTGTCTCCATAGTGCAGGGGTGCACACACTAGAAGATTCCATGCTTTTAGTTAAGAGCTGGATCTACCATAACAAAGACAGTTATACATTCCAAGACAGTTTATGACCACACACTACAAAATAAATAACTTAAAATTTAACTGGTCAACTTTTTGGATAGAACACTCAACTATCAGAGTTCACTCATTTTTAGGCACAATTGTTCTTTTATTGAAAAACTTACCAAGTGCACTTATTCCTTGAAGCGGATTAAATTTATTTTTACATTCAGTTAATTTGTTGTGTTCAGAAACAGAACCAAGCATTGCAAAGAATACAGCATTCCTCCCCTGTTCAGAGCCTTTGATTTATTTCAGATAAAAGGAAGCCCTACACACATCACAAATGGACTCACTTTCTCTATCAACAAATAAAACCAAAAAAATCTACCATTATAAATTGTTCTCCAGAACAAAAAATCTTATTCTCCCGCATCTATAAATAGACATCCCAGAAACAGGAAATCAACTTCTTCAATGTAGCTAAAAACGCCGGTCTAAGACGAATATCATTACATGGACAGTTTGTTGTATGTGGTCACATCCATTCAAACATATATATATGGACAACACAACGACAAATTTTCAAACACGATCTCCTTGATTTACCATGAGATGGTGCGTGATAATACTGTGTATTAGGGAGTGGTGGGGACTGGTCTGAAAATGTAATCAGTTAGTGTAAGTTATGCAAAAATAGAAGACCAAAGAAGTACTGAAAGTCACCATCCCCTAAAAAGTAAAAAAAAAAGGAAAATGGAATAAAAAGGGGAAAGAAAAAACATAAAAGAAAACCCTTTCATGGTCTACCCTGGAACTCTTTTTGATTTGAGAATCCAGAATTGTTGACTATAATAATGACATTCCTATGAGCCAGGGGTATTGTACACGAAGCTATCAATGTGTCCCATCAGCAATCCAACGACAATCAAGAAAGCTGGAAACTCTTGGAATCCAGTTTGTTTTCTAACAGCGTTAAGCATCTAAATTTTCAAGAATATACTTGAAAAATAAAAAAGATAATTTCGTTAGACACCTTGAACGGTAAAGCAACATTTCAGAAACATGAAAACATATTACAAATTTTAATTTAAAAAACTTTTGTTTTAGAAAAAGAATTCAAAAACACATTGACACAGTTCGAATTTCATGACAAAAGACATTCAATTACCATGTCCACGATAAAAGGAAATACATTCATCAAAAAAAGTGAATGCACAAAAATAAATTGTATGCACGCACCTCGTTTAGATGCCTTGCGAATAATTGTCCCAGCCTGCTGTCTCTTTTTGCAGCAGAAGATGGCAACCCCACAAACTACAGCAATAGCGACGATGATCCCAATGATGGCTCCAACACCCATTTTTCCTTTAGACTGGTGGTGCTTTCTGAGGAAATAAGTAAACTAGGTATCAAGATTACAGACTGCATGAAAAAACATATTTTCATTTTGGTAATGCTTTAAAAAAATTAGACTAATGCGCTCACTGGTCATCTCAATATTTTTATACGCCTGCGAGTCGTGGACACTAACAGCAGAATTAGAGAAAAAGATTCAGATCACAGAGATGAGATGTTACCGCAGACTCCTTGACATCTCGTACAAAGACCATGTTTCAAATGCCGAAGTACGAAAGAGAATTACCAACGCAGTGGGACAATATGAAGATCTACTGACCACAGTGAAAAGACGAAAACTAAAATGGTATGGGCATGTCACAAGATCCACAGGACTTGTCAAAACAATCCTGCAAGGAACCGTACAAGGAAAGAGAAAGAGAGGAAGGCAGAGAAGGAGATGGGAGGACAACATTAAAGAGTGGACAGGAAAGACGATGGGTGACAATCTGAGGAGAGCAGAGGACAAAAATAGATGGCGAGAGCTGGTTTTCCAATGCAGTGGTGCCCCAACGGTTGCCCCAACCACGGGATAGAAGAAGAAGAATGTTTTGTGAAATTCTTGTATGTTCTTGACTTCTGTCATTCAATATTTTTCTTATCAAAAAGTGAGAAATAAAACATCTTCCTTCAGGTAGGATAGACAAAAAGAAAATAAGGGGAAAAGCAATGAAATTATAAATGCTCTTTAGAAGAAAAAAAAAAGGAAGAGAAGTAAATAAAAAGTTTGTCAATATTATACTAAATTAATCTGTTCAACGATCAATTTGTTACATTTTTAATATGATTGACCCTTGGGCTAATACTAGTAAGGAGTGATAACAGGTTATCAATACATATATCAAATTTAAGTTAAATGTTTTAAAAAAAAGAAAGATTTTTCCAACTTAGACAGTCAGATCAACACAATAAGTCAACAAGTACACTCTAAGGAACATCACAGCAACTGACGCAAACATGCAATTATCACTACAAGACATTTGACAAAAGAGCTAACTTCCAGATGTTGCTGGATCCATAACAACAAAAACAACCTGACTCACACCGACATAAATGTGTTGTGCAGGGAAAATATGCAATGATATAATATTGCAACCCATCTACAAAACATTAGTAACAAATCAATCTTTCCTAGAAAAAATAAATTCTAACTGAAAGCAAAAATCAAAGGCACATGATTTAGACTACTCACCCATAGTAGATCTGAGCCATGGTCTTGTTACAGCAGTACTCCTGTTTCTTAGGACCACAACAGTAGATTTCGTCATATGGATCATTCTCCATGGGACAGATAAAGTATCCCATTATTTTGCCATCAGGTCGCCTCTTTATATTGTTGGTACAAATAGGGGGCACTGTAAGATGAAAACATAGGACTAGTATGACCACTCGATATTAAACTTTCACTTCCATTTTCCCATAAGTATACACAATCGACCATCATACCTTCAAAAAATGATCTACTTAGAGGTCGCATCTAGATCTACCACGACTCAACCATTGGAACGCAGTGCGATGTTAATCATTACTTGGTTTACATTTAATTAAATGGGCGGAAACGTTTTTCTGACTTGACAGCTTTTTTCAAATATAACATGATAAGATTTGATGATGACATAAGAAAACTTAAATGATTTTGTTTCATCTATCGTTATTCTTCTCACCGTCTTGCATTGCACAACAACATGCTTTGAATGGATCAACAGTAACAATGCACGTTCCTCCACCACTATTATTTCTCATTTTCTGATCGGTTCTTTCGAGCACAACAAATGATGACAGAGCACGAGGCATCGCGGGATTTCTGTTTACTGCAAAATTATGCACGGTCACAGCCTCAGAATAAGTCCATAGAAAGATATTAAGCTCATTCCAAATGGCCGATAGAAGAGAAGTCACGGAGAATTGAAGTTGCCTTGCGAAATGACTTCACGAGTTATGCTCGAAAATGAAAATCTAAAAGGCTGACAAAGACAAAACAGCTACAGATATCATTATTCCTGATATAGCACCACAAATAATGTAGTTATAGTAATAAAAGTGTAGAAGGACGAGTTTCTAAGCAATTAAGTACGAACTCAACCCGTCACATTCTGAATTTTTAAAAATGCATTAATTTCAGAAATAAAAATATTTGTAAGATTTCTTCTCATGGCCCTGCTATTTCTCTGCCCTCATAGCAGAAACATCATATTAAGCACAACATACAAATTTCAAAGCTGTAGCACCATTTTTTTGGAATAGGAAAGGATTTTGTAAGGTATATGAAGAAACCCCCACCTATTGGCAAAGACACATATACAAGAGAGGAAAACTCGCATGTTGGTATATAGGCCTATATATATGCCCTTTTTTTATTGGGAGGGGGGGTAAGTGTTTTACGGTGCTCGCAACTTCATAAGGTCTTATGAACACACAGGACACATTAAACTTTTTCAGGTGGTAAGAAATTTTGAAATTTAGCCTGGGTGGCATCCGGAGCCTACTCCAAAGGATCTTTAACGTTTTTTCACTCTTGTCCGAGAAGGCTAGGTGTTAATCTTTGCTACCAGAAGATCAGGGGTGTAGCTGAAAGACATCAGTAAGAAGGATCCAAGGAGTAGCAGTAGAAAGGCAGCAGAAATAGGAGCCCACAGGAGGGGGCAAAGGAGATGAGGGGGTGGGGGGAGAAAGTGGAAACGAAAGCAGACGACAGAACATTGCGAGAGAGCAGGAAAGGAGGTGAAAGGAGACAATTTTAGAGAAGAAATTTTTTCGGTCGCTACCTGGATTCGAAACCGGGACCTTTGAAAGAGGGGCCAACACATTAACCTCTAGGACGCGAGAGCCCCCAGTTATACATACCATTACTTGAACAAATGGAATTCAAAAACACATTTCATTTGATTTACTTTTAACACTCCTTAGAAGGAACATTGCTATTTTCTAAAACCGCAGTACCATACCTTGAGTAAAAGCAAAGAGTGAAAATTTCATTCAAAATTACATCTTTAAGGAACTTGTCATTCTGAAAATCCAGAAAAAAACAAGGCGAAAACATGAATTGCTACACACTACAAGCATGAATATAATATATTCGGAATTCTTTATCGAGATCATCTTATACCACATCCCACTGAATTACAAAATGTCATGAAAAAGAAAAAAAAGGAGAAAACATGTTTTTCTCTAACATGTTTAAATATATGACTATACTTACAGTCCCTGCGATTCGGATGCCTCCTTGTGTAGGCAAGGCCTCCAAAAATCACCCCAGCTATGGCAGCATTTCTCCAAGTACGGGATGTGTAGTGGCTGCTACCTTTGGCAATACGTCCAGAAAGTACCACATTTCGGTAGTTTCTATAACCTCTGGAGCCCCTGGAGCCCCTGATGCCTCTGTAAAAGACACCACAGAATTTCAACTCGTAAAATATGTGATCTTTACCTCTCTCCATTCTAAACTGTAGCAACTGGCCCTTTACATATCAACATACTGGCCAAAAAGCTGGTCAGAAGAGAACCTTTAACAGACAAGAATATTGTACTTCCTCAAACTGAAATTTGTAACAAAAGAGATTTATTATATACACTCTAACATCTAAATAAAGTTTTCAAAGGTCATATACCTACATTATACACATAAGAACAAAATATCGTTGCCATCGCAAGAAATCCATTCACGTCCAAATTTTGATAATTTTTTATTTTCACACCCTCCGAAAGCTTTATATCAAAGATACACCTTTCAACATCACCAAATTGCAGATAGGAAAAACACAACTTTACTTTTCCAACCCAGCAGCCATCTGAGCCCTAGCTCTTCGGCCTGAGGATATGGCAAAAATGTACTGTTTTTATCAGCTGCATTTTGTCTCAGTTTAGAGTATTTAAATTTCCGACATCTGGGGAGGCAGGTAGGTTGGTACAACACAGGTAGCTAAGTGCAGGGCAGGTAAAGAGGTGGTGTGATACTGTTTCGTCCTGGCAGTCACACAATGGGCAGTCAGTTGGGGTATTCTTGTTGATCCTGTTTAGGAAGGAAATCAGTGGGATGTGTTGTGTTTGCAGAAAAAAAGATAGTGACTTGTTCTCTTCTACTCAGAGAATTTCCTGCATTTTTTTATTTGGGAGCAGTCATATGTGCAAATGCAGTTCTTCCAGTTTTGCCTATTGCCCATCCATTCAGCCACGGTTCCCTGGTGTTGCATTTGGTAATGTTCTTGACTGTCTGCTGTGATACTATGTCTTGAGGATGTGTTCATGATGCTCTCTTCTTGGCAAGGGTGTCTGCTCTGTCATTTCCTGAGATGTTGCTGGGGCTAGGTACCCACTGTAAAGTCAGGTTAACAGCATAGGTCAGCATGAAGGTAGTAATTGTTAGAGCCACAGAAAGGCAGGCTGGGCTTTCGAAATTCACGTTTTCCAATGCATGAGTAAAGTAAGTCTCCATCTAAACACACGTCATACAAAAGCATGCTCCGCTCAAACACACGCTTTCGTCATCTGGCGTTTTTTAAAAACTATAATTTAGACATACAAATGCTCTGTCGCTCCCACTAAACACACGGTCCGATCCGCGAAACACGCAGACGGGTAAAGCTTGACATGGGGAAATTTTCACTTCGACCTGCAAAGCTTGCTTTAGACAAGCCTAGAAAACCGGATATTTGGTAAGACTGCCCCTCATGCCGACCAAAGAGAGTGGTGGGAAGCATTTTCACACCCAACTTTCCAGACACATAGGTCTAGGACTGGTCGGTGAAATTTAAAAAAAAATAATTTTTTTTTGGGGTGGGGGGGAAATGTGAAATGTATTTTGATTGGTCACTGGAAATGCATCTTTGAGAAACATGTAATGTTTAGTTAGACCTAGGCCTATGATGCTCAACATACATGAACCCTGAAAAACACTGGTGGCTTCTATAGGATTAAAGTTTAGTCAAGTAAGCCTTATCAGCTGCACTCGAAAAACTTATAACAATACATACTTGTTCAACGAATCACAAGAGAAAAGTTTCTCTACATATAGAGATCTATGATTCTGATGTCGTCCATGAATTTACGGTCGGGGGTGGTTGCTTGGAAAGCCACGTGGCTGGTCTGTTGTCTCTAGATTTATGACTATCACAAACAGTTTCCTCTTACTACCTGTTCCTGACAATTTATGGTGCATAGATATATATATCCTTATATTGAGTCTGTCTTTCTTACGCCCCCACCCATTCAAAGCTTTTGTATTCTTACCCGCAGTCTGGGAATCCTTCACAAAACAGTCAAGTGTCGTCACATTATCAGCCAAAGTGACCCCCACTCCAAAGCGAAGTCATTAGAATATCAAGGCCAGGAGATGACTGCGACTCTTCCTCCTTTTGCAAAGGTTCATATAAACACACGCTTCGTATTAACACACGCGAAGGAGCCCTCTCGAGCACCGTGCATTTCGGCGGAGACTATGGTACTGATTTTCTCTCTGAGAAGATCACAGTAATGGAAATGTTGGTCAGGTGGAGGACTGCTGTCAGTGGCGATGGCTTCTGCCTTGAAATTTGTACAAAAAGTACCATAGCTACCAAATAGTTCTTTCCAGGTGTTGTCAGGATGTTCTATTCTTACTCCAAAGCCAGCATTGAAGGCTGACCCATTAATGTAAATATGGATTGAATTACCAGGGTAGAAGTCAATCGTTTTGAGAGCTGTAGTCTTCAGTTCTACAGGGTCACGTTCCTTTTTCACTGTCTCCTTTATGAGGGAGGTTATGATGTTGGGATTCTTGGTGTTTGTTTTGGGGTTTTGGGGTAGTTCTGGTCTCAAGGGTTTCAGCATTTCTGTGATATACCAAAGGTAGTGTTTTTTTTTCTAGTTTGGTAACTGTCAAGTATAGATCTTCCATGGATTGGTTTCTTTGATCACCTCTGTTAAATGATCTTTCTGTTTGGGTGGTTTGTGTCCTGTCTCTTTAAGTGCTCACTCCTCTTCACAACTGCTGCCTCTCTCCGCAGGTCCAAGGATTCTAGGTTCGTATTGATTTCACAAGCTGTAGTTGATCTCATAGCTCTCCTGAAATAAATCTTATGGATTGGTTCTCAATTTCTTCAAGAAACCTTTGAGTCTATGCTGCAGATTGTCTGTAGGCCTAAGTTATATTCCATGGCAGAGAGTACATAGCTATCTCAAAGGGTCTTTGTCCACTCCCAAAAAAGTGCTAGCATGCCATCCGAGAAGGTTAAGTCTCTTGTTAGCCTTAGTCTTCAGGTTGCAATATTATGATTTCGCATCAAGCACAACAAATCTAGAATTTTGTCTTGGTTCAATAAGTAGCCAAGTGGACTTTAAAGTGGATTTCTGGTGACACCGATGATATTCAAGACAGTTAACAATGAAACTTTCACTTTTAATCTTTGTTATAATGAGAAAGAAATTTAATCTTTTTAGTCATTCAGAACAAAAATATTATAAAATTAAAAACCCAGAGAAAGTTATTTTTACAAAAATCATAGTACAATTTACCTAGAACCTCTGTAACCTCTTATGCCTCTAGAACCCCTTGAGCCTCTAGACCCTCCGCCTCTGGATCCACCACCACCCCGTCTTGCTTCCACATCAAGGAGTTCTGAAATATCACAAAATCTTGTCCAATCAATTTATTAGGTGTCACAGCGTTCACAAAAGTATATATATCTGTTACCATGTGTTTATTTTGAAGAAAAGCCAAACAAAAAAGAATATGTTTGGCATCATGGTGAAATCAGGCGCTCATCAAAATAATGAAATCCAAGAAATCAGCATTTTTCAGCCAGTTTGGATATTTTTTTTCCGAATTGTTTTTTGTCTCAACGCCTTGTATGTCCCTTCAAAAACACTTTTATGAATGGAATTTTATGGGAAAACATTGATCAGAGGGACAAAAATGTAAATTTGCAGTTTCCAAGGAGTTGTAAGCTATTGAAGTCACCAAATTTTGGCAGCCATTTTCTCATTAATTTTACTTCTGAAACTAGGCGACCTTACCTCCTTTAATCGCAATACTTCTATTCAAGATAAATATATATTTTTTTCATCTAAAGCAAGGCAAATCAACAACCTTTAATATGATACAAATAACTTCATATATATGTTCAAAAATTTACAAGCGCTTGATTCCAGTGCGTCGTGACACATATGCTCAGTAAGTTTTATAATGCATGCACCACATGAACTGATATTGAGCAGTATAGCAAAATGATTCCTCAATTTAAGTGTGATGAGAATGGGAGTTTTAGTTTTTAATCTAGATAATACCAATAACAGTTCTAGAAAAAATCATAGCCAAAGGCGTAAGGATGAATTATGAGCGCAGGATGAAATAGAAGCTCAGAAAATCAAGAGATGAGAAATACTTTTTTTTCAGTAAGAGATTTAGTTACAAAGCACACAAAGAATATAATTCTTAAAACTTTGTTTGTTTCTTCTCTAGAGTCTAATTAATGATCATCTACAAGAACTACTGAACAAGGAAAAAGCAGTCTTCAAGAGTGGCAAACACTGCAAATTAAAACACACAACACAAAATTATTCACATTTTACAAATTTAACTGAATCGAGGATAACCTAGAGTAGAGTTAAAGTTTATACATCAAACAAAATTTTAATTTTTTTTAAAAATAGAAGCCCTGCAGAATTTAGACATAGAGGTAATTATTACTCGCAATAAATTGGCTTCGAAATACCAATGCAGAAAATGAAAAAACTTCAAAGTCAAAGTGTGTAAGTCTTCAACTTCAGGCAAAAACCAAACAGGCTATAATAGACTATCAGGGCTCCCCTTTTCACGTCAACTTAAGAGGTTCCTTCCCCTTTGGTGTTCTATCTTAAGGGGTATTTAAACCCTTGTTGTAGAAACTTAACGGGTTTTGTTGCTTTGGGTTTTTTTTTTTTCATGTCTGACAAACTAATCCTCAAAAGTCAAAATTTTTGTATTACAACCTCCTAATATCACAGTAAACATTTTTGCACTCACACGCACATTCACAGTCTACACACACAGAGTGACCATGACTATGATTGAATGCTAACGATTTTTATTTAACTGTAAGGTTTCATTGCAACAACAAGAAATAATGAGTAATATTGACTAGAATTATAAGACTTCTGTCCACTTGGAGGGGGCGAAGGGTGGTGGTGGTGGTTGGGTCAATCAAAAATAAAATAAGTTGACAAACCAAAAGGGCTCAATTCCGACTGTAACACACTAAAGAAAATACACTGATATTCATATTCTTCAGTGCCATCCCACGGTTCACATTCCAGTCTTTCCATACTTTCGATTTTTTTTCCTCGTGAAAATTTCACAAGCCTCCTGGATCACTTTCTTTTCATAAAATGAAATGCCTCATGCTTGAGAAGGTCGACTGCTTCTGACAGAGACAAAAGATGACTGTCGTCCTATGTGATTGGGTTTGTTGTCAAATCATTGACTCGGCTTCGGGATGGAGAAGGGGTAAAATGATGCAAGCCAGATGCACACCACCTACGTTTTAAAGAGTATGCAAAGCCCCGAAAAGAAATTTTATTTAGAGTCAATGCTCACGCACTACCAAAAACTTAAAGGGAGTAATCTGCAGGTTTAATGCGTAATATGCAATCTGTGCGTAAAAGAGAGCCCTGGACTATAGTCTTAGTAGGCCTATAGTTAAAGAACATTCACAACATTTCTCTCATCTGACACTAGCTTGATGAGACTGAGTTTATTTAAATTAATAGGTTACCTCTTTATGCCTCTTACTTTTTTACTGTTTTGTACATTACAAAAAATTACAAAGACTGTCTGACAAGACAAAGAAGAGTCAACGAATAGAGAATGGAAAATGGAAGCTCCACAGCCACAGTGTAGCCTACATCAGTAGATGGAAGACAGAAATATAAAAAATAAAAAGTGACGTTGGTCTCGGCGCTCTTTGGAAATTGCCTTCCCGTTCCATTGGCAGCAGCCCATTTTGAAACTGATATAATTTGCCATGTAGGCCTATACGTGAAGATTGTGTGTTTTTTTGTGGGCAATCACCGGTTGTACCGTACTTAAATTGTCTCCGGCGAGGTCTAGACTCAAGTCCGAATTGTCTCCCGTTGCTATTCGGACTTTAAAAAATAAACTACTGGTAGAAGGCTATTACACTGCATTTCGAGACTACAAAGGGATCAAAACATAAAATTCATAATATCATAATCAGTCCTTATAAGACAGCCCCCCCCCCCCCTCCCCTTTCTCTCTCTCTCTCACTCTCTGACTATCTTACTTCCCCAGGCCTGCCCCACCACCTTCATCCCTTTTTTTTTGCATATATAGATCTATATTTCCCTCCCACACCGTTGCCCACTGCCCGGCCCTACTATTAGATTTATATATATATATAGATCTACATTATAGTAAAGAAAAGACCACAGTTCGCACTGGGTCATCACAGTCGGCGCCCATTTGTTGTAGTTCCTTGGCCAGATCGTAGAAACCAAGGAAGGCCAAGGTCGAATTGCTAGTCTGCTTCACATGCGTTAAACCTAGTGATTGCCTACACGCATTGGAGTTTGAGTCCGAATAGCCACGGCCTATTATTTTTGCCAAGGGGGCAAGGACCCCTGAAACACCCCACTAACCCCCCCTCAAACCCCCCACTGTATGGCTAGTGCACATTAATACACTGTAAACACAGTGGGTCCGCCGAAGTTCAATCCGGAAAAATAAATTTTTAATACAAAAACGGAGTGTCTACGTACACGGTAACCGGGCACGTAGCCTCAGGGTCTACGTACACGGTAACCGGGCACGTAGTCTCAGTGTCTACGTGCACGGTAACTGGGCACGTACGGTAGCCTCAGTGTCTACGTACACGGTAACCGGGCACGTACGGTAGCCTCAGGGTCTACGTTCACGGTAACCGGGCGGGTAGCCTCAATATCTACGTACACGGTAACCGGCAACCACTCATTATCTACGAACACGGTAAGCGGGTATTTAGTTTCGTGGGGGAGGGGGGGAGAGCCTTCAGCTAGGTACACGGTAACTGCTTTGCTCCCTTCATGACGTTGACATTAATTTTTCCTTTTTCACCGTGTAGTCTCAATGTCGCATACACGGTAACCGTGCGCGTAGCCTCAATATCTATCTACACGGTAACCGTGTACTTAGTTTCGGGGGGGTGAGGGGGGGAGGGGGTGGTGGTGCGGAAGGGGGCTTGGGCTAGGTGCACGCACGGTACCTGCTTCGCTCCCTTCATGACGTTGACTTTTTTCCTTTTTCACCGTGTAGTCTCAATGTCACACACACGGTAACCGGGCACGTAGCCTCAATATCTACGTACACGGTAACCGGCAACCGGGCGCCTCTCATTATCTACGAAAACGGTAACCGGGTGCGTGTTTTATTTCGGCGGGGGCTTGAGCTAGGTGCATGGTAACTGAGTCGCTCCCTTCATGACCTTGACCTTTTTCCTTTTTCACTCCGCTTTTTGTGTGTTGTGAGCGGAATGTAAATCCAAAAATGACCCCAATCTACCCCTTGTCATCTTTCCTAAGGGAGGGCAAAATGAAGTGACACTGAAAATCTGCGAATCTGGAACAGAAAGCTAAAATATAGATGTTTACAAAACATGTAATACTATCACGAGAGAGAGAGAGAGAGGGAGAGGGAGAGAGAGAGAGAGGGAGAGAGAGAGAGAGAGAGAGAGAGAGAGAATTAAAAAAGTATGCTCTTGATGAGGTCATACCTCTCTTAAAACAAAGGACAATAAAACAAGGGGATCCTTGACTATCACCCATCCAATGAAACGCGGACCTTTTGGTTTAAAAACGCGGCTTACTAGGTATGAGTATGACGGATCCCAATTCCGTACAGGGCTCGCACCAATGCACGCTTTTCCGTAGCAGGAAGCTCTAGTAATAATCAAAATTCTAAATACTAAAATTTGCTTCCAAGTTCAGATTTTGTCATCCGATGTTGCCTTCAAACCCCCCCCCCCCCCCCCCCCCACTGTACCTTTTTAAAAAATCAATAATCCCCCTATTCCGGAGCCCTATACTTCGCGCAGCGCACACGTTGAATGAACTTTGGTGACCCCATGCGATCACTGGTACTCAAAACAATGTGATGCGAAAGTACAGGTTCACTGACCGGTCACGATGTCGAGCCCGACAAGACGCTAATATAACTTTCTTTTTTCCCGCAAGTGAAAGCACAGGACAATGATTTATTTTCCTGGTGACACAGCGTTTGTAATGCACAACCTGTATGTTACAAATGTTGCGTTAATCAGACTGCTACCAGCAAATTTCTGGGTGGTAAAGAAAGCGAAAGTAGATCGAGCTTCGGTACCACGCATACACTTACGCTTGCCGCCAAAACACCCTGTTCATACCTAAAACTATCTTTTGTTTTCGAAATCGTTAGCACTTGCAACAAAATAAGTTTATATAAGTGCCGAAGATTAGAGGTGTTAGTGTTACAAGAGAAGTAACAAAACAAAAAGAAGGAAGAGAAAGATAAGGATGATAGATGTTGAATAGGAGAGAAGGAGCAGACTACACCAGAGCACCCACGAACCACCCATTAATACTATCTTTACAAAGACCACACTTACAATA